TAAGTTCGGAAGCACAGGAGAGAATTCTAAACTTTACAGCCCCTGTAACCGATATGTGGTGGGCGTGTGCCAGTAAAGGCAGTATAAGGCAGAGAATTCCAAAAGGGTGGCTAGATACGTGCGCCCTGGTTCTACTGGTTCAGCTAGTTAGAATTAGTCACCAGGAACCAAGGATTAAACAGATGTAGGAGGAGTTTTAACAAGAAGGAGAATAGCCCTATTTAGATGGATGCGATTGGGATACCAAGGGGGGTATTGGATGGATATCGAGCTATGAAACAATTAGGGGAAGGGTTTACTACCACGTTCTTTTGGTGGGTGACAAACAAAATTGTGGATTGGATTAATTATATCTATTACGACCAACAACGATTTATTGGCTAGACTAGGGATGCAGCAAAAGGGATCTCTGAACAATTATCCGCCATCTCACTCATGACTTAGTAAAAGAGGTTGGCTCTAGATCAGGCAGAAAGGGGCGGTGTCTATAGAATGGTAAGCCATTGTTGCACATTTATCCCTAACAATACCAGTCCTGACGGGAGTATCTCTAAAGCCCTAGTTGGTTTAGATAAACTATCAGCTGAAATGAAGAGCATGGCTGGAATGGAGGGAAACGGACTGTTCTCCTGGTTGGGGGAGTGGTTTGGTAAGTATGCTGCACTGGTGGTTACTGGATTTCTGACCCTAATCGTTATGTTTTTAATTTTGATGTGCTGTGCTGCCTGTATTATCCCTTGTCTAAGAAAGTCTGTTACAGATGTCGTGCACGCTGCTGGTATGATGCCTTTGCTGGAGGCACAAGAAGGAGATGCAGACACTGAGTCTAACTTTCGGAGGAAACTGGGGTTGACAAAAGATTACCCTTGGTTTGCTATTGGTGAGGTGGTGGAGTGACACCCTAGTGGGTGTCTAAAGGGGGAATCAAAATTCCCTGTTTGTGTTTTTATGTTTTATAAATCCATTTTAACTATTGTGAATGTTTGTCTTTCCTTATGTGAAGGTTTGAAGTTCCTGGGTGGCTGGTAGCCAACCTACAGTGGGGAGAACAAGTATTTGATACACTGCCGATTTTGCAGGTTTTTCCTACTTACAAAACATGTAGAGGTCTGTAATTTTTATTATAGGTACACTTCAACTGTGAGAGACTGAATCTAAAACAAAAATCCAGAAAATCACATTGTATGATTTTTAAGTAATTAATTTGCATTTTATTGCATGACATAAGTATTTGATCACCTACCAACCAGTAAGGATTCCGGCTCTCACAGACCTGTTAGTTTTTCTTTAAGAAGCCCTCCTGTTCTCCACTCATTACCTGTATTAACTGCACCTGTTTGAACTCATTACCTGTATAAAAGACACCTGTCCACACACTCAATCAAACAGACTCCAACCTCTCCACAATGGCCAAGACCAGAGAGCTGTGTAAGGACATCAGGGATAAAATTGTAGACCTGCACAAGGCTGGGATGGGCTACAGGACAATAGGCAAGCAGCTTGGTGAGAAGGCAACAACTGTTGGCGCAATTATTAGAAAATGGAAGAAGTTCAAGATGACAGTCAATCACCCTCGGTCTGGGGCTCCATGCAAGATCTCACCTCGTGGGGCATCAATGATCATTAAGGAAGGTGAGGGATCAGCCCAGAACTACACAGCAGGACCTGGTCAATGACCTGAAGAGAGCTGGGACCACAGTCTCAAAGAAAACCATTAGTAACACACTACGCCGTCATGGACTAAAATCCTGCAGCGCATGCAAGGTCCCCCTGCTCAAGCCAGAGCATGTCCAGGCCCGTCTGAAGTTTGCCAATGACCATCTGGATGATCCAGAGGAGGAATGGGAGAAGGTCCTGTGGTCTGATGAGAGAAAAATAGAGCTTTTTGGTCTAAACTCCACTCGCCGTGTTTGGCCAACAACCTCCTTCCCTCAGTAAGAGTATTGAAGATGGGTCGTGGCTGGGTCTTCCAGCATGACAACGACCCGAAACACACAGCCAGGGCAACTAAGGAGTGGCTCCGTAAGAAGCATCTCAAGGTCCTGGAGTGGCCTAGCCAGTCTCCAGACCTGAACCCAACAGAAAATCTTTGGAGGGAGCTGAAAGTCCGTATTGCCCAGCGACAGCCCCGAAACCTGAAGGTTCTGGAGAAGGTCTGTATGGAGGAGTGGGCCAAAATCCCTGCTGCAGTGTGTGCAAACCTGGTCAAGACCTACAGGAAACGTATGATCTCTGTAATTGCAAACAAAGGTTTCTGTACCAAATATTAAGTTCTGCTTTTCTGATGTATCAAATACTTATGTCATGCAATAAAATGCAAATTAATTACTTAAAAATCATACAATGTGATTTTCTGGATTTTTGTTTTAGATTCCGTCTCTCACAGTTGAAGTGTACCTATAATACAAATTACAGACCTCTACATGCTTTGTAAGTAGGAAAACCTGCAAAATCAGCAGTGTATCAAATACTTGTTCTCCCCACTGTAGTACAAGTTAGGTGTAGATGGAAGGACTGAAGGATTTTTTATTATCATTATTTCCTATTAATAAAAGTGTGATTCTTTTTGTTTGTATTGTATTTTAATGAGTGACACCCTAGTGGGTGTCAAAAGGGGGAATCCTAAATTTCCCTGAAATGTCTTATATTGGGTTCACACCCAGCAGTGTGAAAAGGGGGATTGTTGGGATCTATTTTCTTATAATTAGATGTGATGCCTAGCTTAAAAATAATACATTAATGATCAAACATAATAGGTTTGTGCTGTACTGATATAGATTGTTTAACATAACAAGCTGTGACTAATGTGAGGAACCGTTAGGGGGGAGGCTGAGATAGACTTGTGACACACACACACTGCCTCTTTGTTAAACCGCTCAAGGACATGTGTACTGCAACAAGGAAGAAGAGGAACTATGTTTGAGAGTTGCTGACTCCTCGAGACAAGTTGCAAAAAACAACTAATGCCCGGCAACAGTGAAGCGCCAAGAGGCTGGGACCAGCCTGAGCGCCAACGATAGGTTGAGTAAGTCTAAACCACGCTCAGCCTCTACTCTGATAGGCCTGCCTGGAGCAGGAACTATCTCTGTCAGAGTATCAAAAGAAGAACTTTGGGTTGGGACAGTTAGTTCTCTGTTTTGCCCTGTGAGGTGTTACAGTGAACCCGTATATACGAAAATTGCATTTGTAGCCGGCGCGGTCTGCTCGTTGCCGACTACTGCGTTGTGTTCCGGTGCACTGTAGACAAGACACTGGCGTACTTGAAGGCACTTTATTGTGTACAACTCTCTCAATCTGTTCAACATCAAGGAGAGAAAATGTTCAAAACTCTACCCTCGACCAGAATCCGCCTCTCTCAGTCGAGTAGAATGCAGACTCAGTATAATCACATTCAAAAATCCAAGGAATAAAATACAACATAATTGGAAAATAAACATCGCATCTGGTGTATATCTTATGTATGTGTCATATTGCATGTTATCTCTGCCAAAAACTCTGAGCTTTTAGCCTTTACATTAATACTGTGCAACATGACATAAACCATCTTTCAAATAGTTAATACATACAGTAATATGCACGAAGCAACATGTAATCCTTCACATTTGAGCTTTTCAATGCCATTAAACACTAATCAATACATGAAAACATTTTAAATGAACACATATTTTTAACCTGATATAGGGAATACATACCTGTTCAACATCAAGGAGAGAAAATGTTCAAAACTCTACCCTCGACCAGAATCCGCCTAACATAAAAAAAATTACTGAAACGTGGGCTTCAACACAAGAGGATAAAATGAAGATCGCTAACTTACAGCTAAACAAAACACGAGGTTAGCTAAGTTAGCAATTTCTCAAACTCTCAAAAATAGCTAAATTCACGACACAGCTTGATTAAATGTATGTACACTCATCATATAATATACATACAAGTTACTATGTGCACTGAAACGTTTTAGTTTTAACAGGTATATCAAGTTTATGTCACGCCGAAGTGAACACATACCTCTCTCAGTCGAGTAGAATGCAGACTGAGAAAAGCATGAGACAACTCCGCATATAACCAAACCAACACTCTAGAGGGCGCACTCTCCCAATATCTGTAAACTACACGAAATGCTGAACAATACAATATTTTGATGAAATCAACTCACAAAATAAAATAAAAAATAGAAAATGAACGGTTGCAAAAATCTGTAATTCTTTGACCTGTTACACATTTACCATTTATTCGCTTGACTAATTATATTAATAAAAAAGCTGAGAATATATTCAGTGACTTAGTGTTAAATTCTGTTCTGATACCAGATTCGAATTACGCAATTTAACAGGAGATAGAGATACAAGCGATCAGAAGCGGAAGTATAACGGTGGTTGGTCATTCCGTTATCGCGTCTCTGAATAGCCAACCAATGGGCTTAGAGGTCTCATACTGTTGTTGTCGCGGGAACTTTATGGAGCTATGAACACAAAACACTTGTTAGCTGCTACTGTAGCTAACGTTTGCAAACCACCAGCCAGACATGTGTAGCTAATTATACATGTATCACACCGATTGAATATTTTGGTGGAGTTCAAATATGTTTGCAAATAAGATAGCTAGCTAGAAGACACTGTTGCCAGCTATAGCTAGCTAGGTGGCTAACGCTAACTAAAGCCAGCTAGCTAACAGTTACCTAATCTGTTTAGCTAGCTTGTTACCATGCTAGCTAGCTACAACCAAATGTTTGTATAACTGTCAAGACTAGATATCTAGCCAGCTAGCGAACGACACTGGCTAAACAAGCAAGCTCGACAACATTGTGAAAAGCTACATCCACGTTGGTTGCCTAGGTAACTAGCTAGTTAGGAAGTTGAAGGGGCGCTTGAGTCTTGTTGGCTCGCAAACTTCACTCTGTTATCCGACCACTGTATTTTGTTTCGGCAAGATACAGGTAGCTAGCCTAGCTACGTACAGGTGGCTAGCTAGCTAGTTACCTATCATCTTTGACTGGAATCATGGCACATCGACTGACGAAAGATGAGCTTGATGAACAGTTCGAGCAGTTTTTGAAAGAAGTAAGTTTAACGTTACTGCAGACACGATAGCAGCACTGTGTCTGCTATTCTTGGTTTTCATATCTATAGCTAAAGTTACTCACTAATGACTGCCCTTCTTTATATCCACACCAAAGATACTGATAATCAGCCCTTTCATCTGTGTCCATACTACTATGTATTCACTCAACCAACTAGCTAGATGGCTACTTTAACCTAGTCACCATTGACTTGTGTTCAGTCTGTCTCAGATGACTCAGTGGATTTGGGTGGCACTGCTAAGCGCTCCAGTGTTCTGGACAGCCTGGGCAGAGCCTCTCAGAAACTACCACCAAAGAAGACATCAGCTGCCCCTGTGCCATGGTGGCAGGAGGAGGAGGACAGCGAAGAGACACCTGGCAGAGGTAAGCAAAGCCAGGGATGTGTAGGTTGATGTGCTACCCACAATGCTTTGATAGGCTTCAGTTCAGTTAGGATTCTGTGTGTGTTTGTGCTTGTCATTTTGGTTCTTTCTCTGTGTGTGTGTGTGTGTGTGTGTCTTTGTGGTTGTGTGTTTCATGACCTGCTGTCAGGTTAAAATATATTTAGAGGGACACTGTGACTCTGTGCTGATTTCTCATCATCTGCTCTGTTATTCCTGGAACATCTGTTGCATTTAATTTCACCATCATAACATGTCCATCATAACCTGTTCCCTGCTGCTACTCCCCTGATAATGATGGTTTGACTCCTTTCATGAGTTCATCTTCGATTGGTTTACATCAGTCGACTCTTCATGACTCATTTGTATATCAGTCCTGTTCTCTAGCTGTCTGTCTCCCACCTTCTCTCCTTTCTCTTTCATCTCCTCTTTCCTTCCACCTGTCCCCAGCAGAGGCTGCAAAACACAGGTTCACTAAACCCAAAAAGCCCCAGCACCAGGCTGTGGTGAAAACTCAGGAGGACGAGAGTGAGAGCAGCCCAATGAGAAGCCCCCCTCAGGGTATAGGAATCACTACTGTAACCCCCTAGTTCCTTAGGGCCACTCAATAGCACATTGTCTCCTCATCATTGGTGTTAGTGCGGTGACATGCTTCCAACCTTCACTTTCTCTCATTATCTTTAGTCCTGCCCTCTACTCTCTCCTTAGCTATATATATGTACAGTGGGGAAAAAAAGTATTTAGTCAGCCACCAGTTGTGCAAGTTCTCCCACTTAAAAAGATGAGAGGCCTGTAATTTTCATCATAGGTACACATCAACTCTGACAGACAAAATGAGAAGAAAAAATCCAAAAAATCACATTGTAGGATTTTTAATGAATTTATTTGCAAATTATGGTGGAAAATAAGTATTTGGTCAATAACAAAAGTTTCTCAATACTTTGTTATATACCCTTTGTTGGCAATGGCACAGGTCAAACGTTTTCTGTAAGTCTTCACAAGGTTTTCACACACTGTTGCTGGTATTTTGGCCCATTCCTCCATGCAGATCTCCTCTAGAGCAGTGATGTTTTGGGGCTGTCGCTGGGCAACACGGACTTTCAACTCCCTCCAATGATTTTCTATGGGGTTGAGATCTGGAGACTGGCTAGGCCACTCCAGGACCTTGAAATGCTTCTTACGAAGCCACTCCTTCGTTGCCCGGGCGGTGTGTTTGGGATCAATGTCATGCTGAAAGACCCAGCCACGTTTCATCTTCAATGCCCTTGCTGATGGAAGGAGGTTTTCACTCAAAATCTCACGATACATGGCCCCATTCATTCTTTCCTTTACACGGATCAGTCGTCCTGGTCCCTTTGCAGAAAAACAGCCCCAAAGCATGATGTTTCCACCCCCATGCTTCACAGTAGGTATGGTGTTCTTTGGATGCAACTCAGCATTATTTGTCCTCCAAACACGACGAGTTGAGTTTTTACCAAAAAGTTATATTTTGGTTTCATATGAGATTCTCCCTATCCTCTTCTGGATCATCCAAATGCACTCTAGCAAACTTCAGACGGGCCTGGACATGTACTGGCTTAAGCAGGGGGACACGTCTGGCACTGCAGGATTTGAGTCCCTGGCGGCGTAGTGTGTTACTGATGGTAGGCTTTGTTACTTTGGTCCCAGCTCTCTGCAGGTCATTCACTAGGTCCCCCCGTGTGGTTCTGGGATTTTTGCTCACTGTTCTTGTGATCATTTTGACCCCACGGGGTGAGATCTTGCATGGAGCCCCAGATCAAGGGAGATTATCAGTGGTCTTGTATGTCTTCCATTTCCTAATAATTGCTCCCACAATTGATTTCTTCAAACCAAGCTGCTTACCTATTGCAGATTCAGTCTTCCCAGCCTGGTGCAGGTCTACAATTTTGTTTCTTGTGTCCTTTGACAGCTCTTTGGTCTTGGCCATAGTGGAGTTTGGAGTGTGACTGTTTGAGGTTGTGGACAGGTGTCTTTTATACTGATAACAAGTTCAAACAGGTGCCATTAATACAGGTAACGAGTGGAGGACAGAGGAGCCTCTTAAAGAAGAAGTTACAGGTCTGTGAGAGCCAGAAATCTTGCTTGTTTGTAGGTGACCAAATACTTATTTTCCACCATAATTTGCAAATAAATTCATTAAAAATCCTACAATGTGATTTTCTGGAGAAAAAAATTCTCAATTTGTCTGTCATAGTTGACGTGTACCTATGATGAAAATTACAGGCCTCTCTCATCTTTTTAAGTGGGAGAACTTGCACAATTGGTGGCTGACTAAATACCTTTTTTCCCCACTGTAAATTTTTTAACCTTAGATCTTCTCTTCCTCCAAGCTAACCCTTAAATATTTCTAGCTCACATTTAGTAGTTCTGTCCTTTTGCCCACCTAACCATGCATGTACTCTTTGAGGGTGTCCCTTTCCCTGAGTTCCTTTTATTTGTGTGTACAGAACATGATTCCTTTCTCATCTTTATCTACCCTCTTATCTTCCTACTTCATGCTGCTTATTGGTTAGCTGTCACAGTGGAAGCCCCCACTAGGCCCACCCCCAAGCCTCGCAGCAAAGCTCTGGATAGGCTCAGTCAGCTGGACAAGATCCAAAGAGCCAATCAGGATGCTTCTTCTCACGTTGCCGCGGGGCCGGAAAATAACAGCCCAGAACACGACTACTCCCACTCTGCCAGGCAGGGGAGCCCCCACACGAATGAGAGCTCCCATAATGCATCAGGAGAGAGGAGTTCTGAGGGGAGTACCTCCCTCTGTGACACACCAGTGGACAGTCACAGCAGTGATAGTGACTCACAGGGCCGTGAAGATGGTAAAGTGGTAGTAGCTAGACTAGAGACAAATCCCCAAAACCCTGGTAGACTAGTAGTTAGACTAGTATAGTATAATGATAGTAGCTAGAGACAGCTCCAAACCTGCTACCCTGGTAGACTAGAAAGTAGAGGCTAGAGGTGAATATTCAACATCAGTATGACTGTAGTCTCGTGTTGCCACACTTCCCAGACCCGTATCCACATTAGAAAGGTGGAAATCAATGTTTGAATGACTGAAACCATGATGAACCATGATTTTAGAGTGAAACCTGGATTTAAAACATACTGTTTACTGTCTTTGTCTCCTTTTCACTTCTTTTCACATTTAGTTCTTTTGTTTTCCTCTGGTAATGGAGTGGTGTAAATAAACAGTGACCATAAAAGCATAGCATTGGAAAAAATAAAGAACTTTCTGGACCTCAAGGGCAGTTGTTATGGTTACTGGTGCTAAATCCGGTCATGTTCTTTCACCGTCAGACAATTCAGTGTGTCGAGGCGAGCTTTGATTCTGTGCTTCTAGCAGACTATTTTACCATTAGTGTTAGTGGTTCATTTGGGCATATTTTCCCACTAGTAAAATTACTCCCAACTGCTTTTACTAGTCTAACTCTGGAGAGCCTGATAGATTAGCTCTTGTTTTTTTTTACTGTAACCAGTGCTTATTTTCACTTCTGTAAATGTCATGATGATCATTCAGTGCTGAAATTGAAAAGTTAGGCCTGTTTTGCCATGGTGAGACTAACTTAGGAAAAGTTTTTTTCTACCTTTTTATCTTGACAGCTATTTTTACTGCAAGACCATTTTAGTATTTATGAGGATATGGGACTTTTCTACAGTAACCTCCCTTCAGTAGACTGACAGCAAGTGGTTGTGGAGCTGATATCAAAGTTAGCTCTACTGCTCTGTCTTCTCTTTTCTGTGTGTACTGTTCTCCACTTAAATGGACCGCATGGCCTTTGAGGGGCTCTGCAGGCCTGTATACCCCAGGAAGTCAATGTCCTGTGAATGATAAAACACAGAGCTAATGAGCTTAATTTCCATAGCTGGGTTTCAAATACTATCTGGAATACTGACAGCTTGGTGTCCGGATGGATGAACTCCTTTTTGAGCTCTTTTTTTTTTAAATTCAGGAAGTAGCCTAAAGCAAGAGCAATTTCTGTTTCCTGGAATTACCTGAATTGAACGCTCCAATATTTTTCTGTTTTTCCAGGATTGCTGGGATCTGAGAAGTTCTGTAAGTCTCTGAGGAGATCCCAGCCCATCCAGGAGGAGGAAGAGGAGCTGCAGCCTCAGGGAGGAGAGAAGGGTTCGGAGGAGGAGGAGGGGGCAGAGCCTGTCATCTTCAGCAGAGACAGTCTGGAGCCTGAGGGTTAGTCTGCTCTGGAGAGATGGATAGATAGATCTGGTGACATCATAGAGAGTATCTCAATCCAATGCTAACCTGACAGGGTAGTGACATGAAAGCAGCTGTACGTGCCAGCTAAAAACTATTTTGCTTTAAGCTCTTTGAAAACCTCTGTGTGAAAATAGCAAGGGTTGAAATGTGTATGTCTGTGTCTGCCCGTGATTGTGTCTACCCAGACTCTGTGATGGCGTCCGGACCAGGTCAGAACGCTGCGGTGGGTCTAGGTCTGGGCATGGACACCCTGGAGGAGGAAGAGGAGAAGGCCCGCTTCTTTGCCCACCTGGAGGGAGGTGCGTCCTCCACCATAGACTACTCCAGACTCAACAAAGACCTGGATTCCACCACCGCCTCCAACACTGCTACCACCCTCAGGTATATATGACACTCAATGGAGCTAAAGGGGATGTGGTCTCTACACACTGGTCTCAGGTTGGTTTTGCATTTCCCCTTCGAATGGTTAAGGTTAGGACTTGGTGAAGACAAGCTGATCCTAGATCTGTACCTAGGGGCGCCTTCACTCAGGAGCATGACACTCCGAGTCGCCCCAGGCCTAGCTGTAGCTGCCTTTTGAAGCCACTGCTGGGGTTGTCCCAAGGAGACCCTCAGTGTTGCAGACAGTGGCTGGGTAAGATAATTACTGTCACTCCCAGTGTGTGATCTGTGAATGACACTTGTTCTGCTGTTTCTCCAGGAAAGCAGAGGTGGCTGTGGCGGGGGTCTATCAGAGAGAGGAGGAGAGAGCTATGGAGTCTGACAGACTCTCCCCAGGTAGGAGAGATGATGCACACATAGAATTAGGAATTATAATAGTAACTTAATAGGATCTCTATGCTCACACTACTCCAAACCTTGCTTGGTTCAATAGGTTTTGTTTTCTTTCAAATACTTTGAAGTTGGGAGGGGGTTTGCGCTTTTGGGATGATTCCGTTGGTTCAGTTGCAACAGGCAAGCTCAATCAATTGCTGTTAAAGGATTTGAAAGGAAACAAATCCTATTTGAACCCAGGTCTGTTGTCATTTACAGTGGCACTCTGTCAGACAAGTATTTGCACATACCTCATCTGCATGACTCGAGCTCATCAGTGAATCTGTCATTCTGTCTGTGCCTGCTGCAGCCTCCCCCCGCTACAGCGAGGATGAGGACTTTGAAGATGAGGTCATTGAGGAGGTGAGAAATTGGGTGAGACTGGGTTTTTTGCAAGTCTGGTTTGAAAATGCAGTCGTTTAGTTCTAATAACTCTTTGTAAGGGCGTGCTTTGAACTAGAGGTTTAAACCGAAAGTTGATTGTAATTGCGGCATGTAGAATTGCCCCATGATAAGTTGTAAGCAGGAGTTGTTTGTGCTGCTCACATGCTAATCACTCTGGGTTACAAAAGCCACAGTGAATAAAGGCAAGGCATTCAGCAGTTATCCCAGCTCTCTCTCAAGAGGTAGAGTGAGAAGAAGGGGTCTTTTAATGGGGAGTGTGCCAGGTCTTGTCTGTGATTGGCTGAATATGTGGTGGACGACTGACTGCATGGCTCTTCTGTTTTGCTCATCTTGTTTCTTCTCTCTCTTTCTTTTAGAAGCCTAAAATGGCTGCCATGCTCACCAAAGGTATTATAAACAAACATCCATTTTTCTTTTCTGGGTCAGAGTGGGTTTTTAAGTCAGCACAAGTATGTGTTTCAAGTTTTATTAGCCGTATGTACGGCATACACATGGTATACCGTCCAAAGAAATGTTTACTTGCAGTTTCCTTCTCGACAATGCAACAGCAATAATAAAATAGAAGAATACAAACATAAAGTAAATGGCTCAGTAGAATAGAATAAAGAAACGTCCTCTCACTGTCAACTGTGTTTATTTTCAGCAAACGTGTAAATATTTGTATGAACATAACAAGATTCAACAACTGAGACATAAACTGAACAAATTCCACAGACATGTGACTAACAGAAATGGAATAATGTGTCCCTGAACAAAGGACGGGTCAAAATCAAAAGTAACAGTCAGTATCTGGTGTGGTTACCAGCTGAATGAAGTACTGCAGTGCATCTCCTCCTCATGGACTGCACCAGATTTGCCAGTTCTTGCTGTGAGATGTTACCCCACTATTCCACTAAGGCACCTGCAAGTTCCTGGACATTTCTGGGGGGAATGGCCGTAGCCCTCACCCTCCGATCCAACAGGTCCCAGACGTGCTCAATGGGATTGAGATCCGGGCTCTTCGCTGGCCATGGCAGAACACTGACATTCCTGTCTTGCAGGAAATCACGCACAGAACGAGCAGTATGGTTGGTGGCATTGTCATGCTGGAGGGTCATGTCAGGATGAGCCTGCAGGAAGGGTACCACATGAGGGAGGAGGATGTCTTCCCTGTAACGCACAGCGTTGAGATTGCCTGCAATGACAACAAGCTCAGTCCGATGATGCTGTGACACACCGCCCCAGACCATGACGGACCCTCCACCTCCAAATCGAACCCGCTCCCGAGTACAGGCTTTGGTGTAACGCTCATTCCTTCAACGATAAACGCGAATCCGACCATCACCCCTGGTGAGTCAAAACCGCGACTAGTCAGTGAAGAGCACTTTTTGCCAGTCCTTTCTGGTCCAGCGACGGTGGGTTTGTGCCCATAGGCAACGTTGTTGCCCGTGATGTCTGGTGTGGACCTGCCTTACAACAGGCCTACAAGCCCTCAGTCCAGCCTCTCAGCCTATTGCGTACAGTCTGAACACTGATGGAGGGATTGTGCGTTCCTGGTGTAACTCGGGCAGTTGTTGCCATCCTGTACCTGTCCCGCAGGTGTGATGTTCGAATGTACCGATCCTGTGCAGGTGTTGTTACACGTGGTCTGCCACTGCGAGGACGATCAGCAGTCCGTCCTGTTTCCCTGTAGCGCTGTCTTAGGCGTCTCACAGTACGGACATTGCAATTTATTGCCCTGGCCACATCTGCAGTCCTCATGCCTCCTTGCAGCATGCCTAAGGCACGTTCACGCAGATGAGCAGGGACCCTGGGCATCTTTCTTTTGGTGTTCAGTAGAAAAGCCTCTTTAGTGTCCTTAGTTTTCATAACTGTGACCTTAATTGCCTACCGTCTGTAAGCTGTTAGTGCCTTAACGACCGTTCCACAGGTGCATGTTCATTAATTGTTTATGGTTCATTGAACAAGCATGGGAAACAGTGTTTAAACCCTTTACAATGAAGATCTGTGAAGTTATTTGGATTTTTACTAATTATCTTTGAAAGACAGGGTCCTGAAAAGGGGACATTTCTTTTTTTGCTGAGTTCATTTTAGCATAATTGTATAGGAAGGAAGAATATAGTCCAATATTAACATGTGTTCTGGGGAAAGGGGAATTGGGGGGCAAGTCTTTAGTGTGTGTGTTAGTGTTGCACGGTACTACGAAACTTCTGTACTTTTTTGATACTAGAACATGGAAAAGCGGTTCGGTACTAGAATTATTGTTACTTTTGGTACTCACGTCGTCTACTGATTTGAAAGGGGATCAAGTCTGTGTCTATCAGCATAGCCGATGTTCCCTTGTAGCGCGAGAGCACTGTGCCTGCTCCTCTTACTCATTGCTAGCCTGTCCTAAGGAATCACTGCACTTATGCTGCACAGAAGTTAACACTTAAATAATGCAACACGGCATGTCAATGTTGAAACTGTTCATTACTGTTACAAAAATAATGTCCATTACAGGCTACAACACTTTACAATGCAAGAAGATACCAGTCATATATATATATACAGTGTGTGCAAATGTAGCAAGTTATGGAGGTAAGGCAATAAATAGGCTATAGTGCAAAATAATTACAATTAGTATTAACACTGGAATGATAGATGTGCAAGAGATGATGTGCAAATAGAGATACTGGGGTACAAATGAGCAAAATAAATAACAATATAGGGATGAGGTAGTTGGGCGGGCTAATTTCAGATGGGCTGTGTACAGGTGCAGTGATCGGTAAGGTGCTCTGACAACTGATGCTTAAAGTTAGTGAGGGAGATAAGTGTCTCCAGCTTCAGAGATTTTTGCAATTTGTTCCAGTCATTGGCAGCAGAGAACTGGAAGGAATTGCGGCCAAAGGAGGTGTTGGCTTTGGGGATGACCAGTGAGATATACCTGCTGGAGCGCAGACTATGGGTGGGTGTTGCTATGGTGACCAATGAGCTAAGATAAGGCGGGGATTTGCCTAGCAGTGATTTATAGATGGCCTGGAGCCAGTGGGTTTGGAAACATGCCTTGCTAGCTTACAGCTGAAGCTATTATCAATTCACTACCCTAGTACCTTGTTTGTGATATGAAAATATTGCTGATTCTCCCCCAAAACTTGATTAATTCACGCCTCACGTCTCTCCCAGTCAAGATCATCTTTGCTCGAGCCTTATGGAACACCGTTTGGGTCTTTGCATGTCAAAAAAGATACACGTCAATTTTTTTGACACACAGACCCAAATGCCTTTCCATAGAGCCTCAAACTGACTGTTTGTGTGAATGACATCATGGGTCTTAAAAGAGACAGCCCGCACTTTTATAAAAGAAGAGATTGCTTCTTCTATGTGAATGTTGTTGATCAGTACAATAAAATAAGTCCCAAATGGAAGGGAAACACATTGCTTTTCATCTGTAGCCCCATGAAATCAGCCAAAACCAGCTCAATAACTCAATACATGCACACACTCTTATTACTTCATCTTGATTTTACCCAAGTTTAGTTTTCTGTGACTTTGGCTAATACGCCTTCTTTTTTTGCCGTGGAATCGTTTTGGTAGTGAGTATCGTGATGGTATCGAGTATCGTGATATTAAACATGGTATCGTGACAACACTAGTGTGTGTTGTGTACACAGTATGTCTATACAGTGTCTCTGGTTCCTCTAACAGTACCCCTGTTTCACAGGGATTTGATATTTCCTGATGAATCGTTTCCTGCTTTTATGACACCATCCTCTATTCATACAGTATTGAAACTGACCTACCCCTAAAATCAATATTCTATTTGTCCTTATCACATCATTTCCTGGTGTAAGTGTCCCTCCATGATTCACTGGACTCGACCGGTGGACTCCTGCCCCCTGGAGCGGACAGTGACACCAACGAGGAACCAGGGAGGAACCAGGGAGCAGAGGAGTCCATAGAGACGGCACTACCAGGTGAGACCAGGCTATCATTCAGGTCCTATTGGATGTAACTATCTAAACCTGGTGGGAAACAGAGATGACTTTGGCCCTTTCCAGAAATAACCCCTAGCCACTTATGTGGATTTGAATGTATTGGTTAGGTTGACAAGCAATAGGGTCCATCTGTGTCAGTTTGGTGATGGCGGATGATAGTGAACTTGGTGGTGTTCCTGTCTGGTCTGTGTAGCCCAGTCGTATGGACAGAGTGGGGCCAGTGAGATGGAGGCTCTACAGGAGGCCTACAGACAGATCAGTGGCTCTCTGGAGGACTCAGACCATCACCACCCTTCATCACCAGTCAGGAGGGAGAGGAGAAGGAGGAGCAGTCCTGTTCCTGTCTCTCCCTCTGTACCTGAGCTCTCCAGAGGAACACTACTACCACCAGTCTCCACCACAGAGTCAGGTTGGTCCGTCTCAAACACTGATATGTCTGTGGTGAACCTGTCAAGTAAATAGAATATGCTCTTCAATCAAAACTAACTGCAGATCCACACATGTCCATGCATATTCATATCTAACAAGATGGTATATTTTAAGTTGTTAGATGGTGTTGAGATATTGTTGAGGTGTTACAAATGGACTTGAATGTCTGATTGATTGATTGACTTCGATATGTTCTCTCAGAGCTGCCCACTGCAGAGGAGCTGATGCGTCCCATCCGACCAGACAGTATGGACGACACCAGAGGCTTCACTCTGCAGCCTGCCAGGTGAGTCTACAGCTGTCTGTCACACAGGGCTTTAGGAGGGAAGGACAACAGACACTGGCTGGAAGGTACAGAATGGAGTGGAAAGACGTTAACATGAGCTGTATGTTCACAGTGGGACCCAGCTCACCCCAGAGAAGACTGGCCAGTCCTTAAGCCATAGATCCGGTGAGTCAAGCCCAAGATGCTCAGCAGATCCAGACACTCCTCCGGCCTCCCCAGGCCCCCGTCCCAGAAGCATCAGAGAGGAGGTACAGAGGCTGATGATGCAGGATCAGGACAGCTCCTCCCCTGACCTGACCTCCACTCAACCCAGCAAAGCCAAAAGACGCCAGCAGGTAAGGGACGGAAACGGAGCCCTTGTTAATAAGCACTAAACCCTACCATACATGACCACACTGATTCAGGCTTTCACACCTGCCAGAACTGTGTTTCCACATTACATAGCCATTGCTCCGACAATACTCGTCCAAATATTTATATATTTCTTAATTCCATTCTTCTACTTTTAGATTTGTGTATTGTTGTGAATGGTTAGATACTACTGCACTGTTGGAGCTAGGAACACAAGCATTTCGCTACCTCTGCTAAATATGTGTATGTGACCAATAACATTTGATTTAATTTGCATTAAAGGTGATTATCACTTACAATGTAGACGGTGACATGGCAATGATTTTTATATTGACATTGACAATAACATATTTGGCATAGGTTCCTGGACGCTCTACGGTAGCTGGTCCCTTCACATCCTCGTTGAAGAAGCCTTATGTTGCCCCTGGTAGAGGTAGAGGGGAGAGTAAACCAACAGCCGTGGCCACCAGGACCTCTGGAGCTAGTCAATCTGGTCCTACCAGACCTGGGGCTGCGGCCAAGCCCCCCTCTCCTCTAACCCAGAGGAAGCCTCTCAGCCAGGCAACATACCAGCGCCTCAGCCCCATCCTCTCAGAGAGAGATAAAGGTAGGAGAAAAGGAACTCCTCACACACTGACAACCAAAACTAGTATGTGTAGTGTAAGCGTGCTTACAGTAACACACTTGTGTGTTTGGCAGACACACAACTAAAGATCTGTTGTATCGGAGCTAGAACTATATCTAAGTAGTATAGCACAAAACAGTAGTACAGTATAATACATAACACTAACATTTGCCACATGTTGCTGTGTGGTTGTACTCCTGATCTAGACTAATGTTGCTTTGTGGTTGTACTCCTAATCCAGAATAATGTGGTTGTACTCCTGATCCAGACTGATGTGGTTGTACTCCTGATCCAGACTAATGTTGCTGTGTGGTTGTACTCCTGAACCAGACTAATGTTGCTGTGTGGTTGTACTCCTGATCCAGACTAATGTTGCTGTGTGGTTGTACTCCTGAACCAGACTAATGTTGCTGTGTAGTTATACTCCTGATCCAGACTAATGTTGCTGTGTGGTTGTACTCCTGATCCAGACTAATGTTGCTTTGTGGTTGTACTCCTGATCCAGACTGATGTTGCTGTGTGGTTGTACTCCTGATCCAGACTAAGTGTTTGGGTTGTACTCTGTACAATGTGCTGGGTTGTACTCCTGATCCAGACTAATGTTGCTGTGTGGTTGTACTCCTGATCCAGACTAATGTTGCTTTGTGGTTGTACTCCTGATCCAGACTGATGTTGCTGTGTGGTTGTACTCCTGATCCAGACTATTGTTGCTTTGTGGTTGTACTACTACCAGGTCCAGACTGTGGTGGTCTGAGGGTGAGCAGTGAACTGGTGGTGGGGGTCCAGTCCTTCGCTGCCTTAATGTTAGCTAAATGTTGATGTGTGGTTGTTCTTTAGGTCCAGACTTTGGTGGTCTGAGGGTGAGCAGTGAACTGGTGGCGGGGGTCCAGTCCTTCGCTGCCTTCCTCCAGCAGCAACATCAGATGGATACGAGAGGTCGCCAGGATACCAGTCACACTGTCTCTTGGGAAACCAAAGGTCAGCAGGAAGCAAGCCAGACTCAGGAGACTGAGCATCCATCAGAGAGGAAGGTAAGTACTGGAAGAGGAAGTAAGTCAACATACTGGAGTAGTTTTTCAGTCTGTGGCGCATCAAGTTTGTACATCAGTGTGCTGGAATTTCTTTTCAGATAAGTATGCAGTGTTTCTCCGTTCACCTGGTCATACGATAGGAGTGTGACTTATACTTTTATGGGTCGTCCAACCTAGCTGATTGCTCCTTGATCTATCATAAGTCTGACTAATTTCAGTTCAGATCTTATGTAGTGTGTGTCCATACCTGGATGACTATAGCAGTCACATTTCTTTGGATTCTATGTTGCCTATTTTTGCAATTAAGGATCAAGCCAATATTATGACCTTCAAAACACATTCAAGCGCTAGCAAGTATCCAGTATAAAGACTAACCATGTTACCCCTCTGTCTGTCAGAGTGAGCCCAGGGAGGAGGGGGGCAGGGCTGGAGAGGTGGAGGAGGAGAGCCCCCTAGTGTCAAGGCTGAGACTGCAGCTAGCCCAGAGGGAGAGAGAGCTCCACACCAGAGAGGAAGAACTACTGCTGCAGCATGACACAGAGCTCAGCTCACTGAGACAGGAGAACTACCTCCTGCAGAGCAAGGTAGACTGAGTCACACACACAGGCACACACACACACACACACACACACACACACAATTACATTCACATGGACAGTAATGTCTGTAAAGAGCATAGTAGCATAGTTCCATCTGTTTGGTCACCTGTGGCTTCCTACATCTAATATGTTCTCATTGACTGTCGGAACAGTTTAAAACCCCTACGTCAGCACTCTTGTTGCTATGGCACTAGCAATGCTCATTTTATTTAGCTGCTTTGTGTGTGAATTTTGTAATACTGTTATTCAAGCCATTGAATAAAGCAGTTGTGAAGGACCCAGCTGATACAGGAGAAAAATAAAGCATCCCATTAAACAATAGCATGTTATCTAAGACATCTCTGCCATCCACTGAAGGCCAGTTAAATGAGCTCCAACTGTAGTAGATGCAGACATCACTCATGTGTTATTTGTGATGTGTTATTTGTGACTCCTGAGTGGCGCAGTGGTCTAAGGCACTGCATCGCAGTGCTAACTGTGCCACTAGAGATCCTGGTTCGGATCCAGGCTCTGTCGCAGCCGGCCGTGACCGGGAGACTCATGGGCGGCGCACAATTGGCCCAGCGTCGTCCAGGGTAGGGGAGGGAATGGCCGGCAGGGATGTAGCTCAGTTGATAGAGCATGGCGTTTGCAACGCCAGGGTTGTGGGTTCGTTTCCCACCGGGGGCCAGTATAAAAAAAATAATAATAATAATAATGTATTCACTAACTGTAAGTCGCTCTGGATAAGAGCGTCTGCTAAATGACTAAAATGTAATGTAAATGTAATGTGTATCTTGTCCCCTGTGTTTCAGCTGCACAGTGCAGAGGAAGCCAACAGCAGGAAGAAGGGCCGGTGGGGTCTGGGTCTGGACGAGCCCTCGGACCCCCTCACTGAGGACAAACTCAGACTGATCGAGAAAGAGGTGAAGGAACAGGAGACCATCATCCAGGGATACCAGCAGGTCTGTACACATGTCTGTTAGTCTCTGTCTACTCAGCTCCATTTGTCTGTGATTGTTTGGCCGTCTCTCTGGGTCTTTTCTCTTCCAGTCTGTGTTTTAAGGAAACAAGACTTAATTGTACTGCATTTGTTCAGCGCCAGGCTGTGGGTGACTCATTGCCTTTGAATCCATCCCAATTACCCAGAGTCTCTGAGACTGTGGAGGTTCTATACAGGCCACTGTTCAGAGTAATGAATGTAATTCCTCTGTTCACTGACTTAATTCCTGGAGGGTGGGTGGGTTTGTGTTAGGCAGCACAGTTAGCCTTTTTTCCTCCAGATTGTGAGCAGCTTAGAGATATGACATAAACACTGTCTGATAACCTTTCATAATCACAGTGCCTACAGCTGAGCTCCTAGAATCAGTGGCTACATACACACCACCAAGGTGGAACTGTAGCAGTTCTTAATTAGGCATGGTGAATGCATTTCCTCATTTCACAGCTTCTAATCGTATTCCTTTCTAGTTTTATTTTATGTCGCCTAAATGCGTAAGGTATTTCTGATCAAACCAATTTTCCCAGATGCGCCCATAGTTGAGGCACTTAATGTGATTCTCTCTCTCCTTGCTTGTGGCGTGTGTGTGTAACAGGAGAATGAGAAGTTATACCTGCAGATGAAGGCTCTTCAGGCTCAGGGTAAACTCAATGAAGAGGCCATGTTCACAGAGAACCAGAGGCTGCTAAATGAACTGGCCTTTACCAAGTGAGTTGACACATACAGTTGAAGTCGGAAGTCTACATACACTTAGGTTGGAGTCATTAAAACTCGTTTTTCAACCACTCCACAAATGTCTTGTTAACAAACTATAGTTTTGGCAAGTCGGTTAGGACATCTACTTTGTGCATGACACAAGTAATTTTTCCAACAATTGTTTACAGACAGATTATTTCACTGTATCACAATTCCAGTGGGTCAGAAGTTTACATACACTAAGTTGACTGTGCCTTTTAAACAGCTTGGAAAATTCCAGAAAATGATGTCATGGCTTTAGAAGCTTCTGATAGGCTAATTGACATCATTTGAGTCAATTAGAGGTGTCCCTGTGAATCTATTTCAAGGCCTACCTTCAAACTCTGGTACGCAAGTATAAACACCATGGGACCACACAGACGTCATACCGCTCAGGAAGGAGACACGTTCTGTCTCCTAGAGATGAACGTAGTTTGGTGCGAAAAGTGCGAATCAATCCCAGAACAACAGCAAAGGACCTTGTGAAGATGCTGGAGGAAACCGGTACAAAAGTATCTATATCCACAGTAAAACGATTCCTATATCGACATAACTTGAAAGGCTGCTCAGCAAGGAAGAAGCCACTGCTCTAAAACCGCCATAAAAAAGCCAGACTGCGGTTTGCAACTGCACATGGGGACAAAGATCTTACTTTTTGGAGAAATGTCCTCTGGTCTGATGAAACAAAAATAGAACTGTTTGGCCATAATGACCATCGTTATGTTTGGAGGAAAAAGGGGGTGCCTTGCAAGCCGAAGAACACCATCCTAACCGAGAAGCACGGGGGTGGCAGCGTCATGCTGTGGGGGTGCTTTGCTGCAGGAGGGACTGGTGCTCTTCACAAAATAGATGGCATCATGAGGAAGGAAAATTATGTGGATATATTGAAGCAACATCTCAAGACATCAGTCAGGAAGTTAAAGCTTGGTCGCAAATGGGTCTTCCAAATGGACAATGACCCCAAGCCTACTTCCAAAGTTGTGGCAAAATGGCTTAAGGACAACAAAGTCAAGGTATTGGAGTGGCCATCACAAAGACCTGACCTCAATCCTATAGAATATTTGTGGGCAGAACTGAAAAGATGTGTGCGAGCAAGGAGGCGTACAAACCTGACTCAGTTACACCAGCTCTGTCAGGAGGAATGGGCCAAAATTCACCCAACTTATTGTGGGAAGCTTGTGGAAGGCTACCTGAAATCTTTGACCCAAGTTAAACAATTTAAAGGCAATGCTACCAAATACTAATTGAGTGTATGTGAACTTCTGACCCACTGGGAATGTGATAAAAGCTGAAATAAATCATTCTCTCTACTATTATTCTGACATTTCACATTCTTAAAATAAAGTGGTGATCCTAACTGACCTAAGACAGGGAATTTTTACTAGGATTAAATGTCAGGAATTGTGAAAAACTGAGTTTAAATGTATTTGGCTAAGGTGTATGTAAACCTCCGACTTCAACTGTACGTACGCACACACACACGTACCTATCCACGTCATTGAATGTTAACACTGACACTTATTTATGCCCAGGGAGCAGATGAGCAACTCATCAAGGACTGTAGGAAATGTAGGCTGTGTGGACCATATTCAGCGCATCGCACAGCTGTTGGGCCAGATGCAGGCAGCACAGGTGAGTGTTCAGAGTCACGTCACACAACCACCTCTAAAAGGAAGGCCTAGATGATGCTTTGGAGATTAATCAATCAACTCATCTTAAAAGGGAAGGACCAGTCTCACCTTTGACCGTGTGTATGTGTAGAGGACTGAACAGAGACTGGTGGAGGAGACCCACAGGCTGAAGCAGGAGAAACAGGCCCTGGAGGTGGACCTTCAAATGATGAGGAAAGAGAGAGACCTGGTCAAAGCACAGGTGGTCTACACCTCAGGTTAGTGTGTGTGAGACATGGAGGCTTGAGTGTGCAGTCAAATCTCTTGTTTCTACTCCCAAAAGACAATGAAATATTCCCTGTTTACAGACGTGGTTTAAACCTCCATTAAAACATCCCATTGTTGTGGTTGACAGTCAAGTGGAGCTCTGTGACATGCTGTGGTCTGTATTGTCCTTGTCTCTGCCAGAGGATAAGAGCTTTGAGCTGCGGGTGGCAGAGGACAGGCATAAGGAGGAGGTGTGTGTTCTGAAGAAGAGGCTCCAGTGGTACGCTGAGAACCAGGAGCTGCTGGACAGAGACTCTGCCAGACTGAGGGCTGCCACCGCAGAAACACACCAACTCACAGAGCAGGTAGGACCAACTCACAGACCAGGTAGGACCAACTCACAGAGCAGGTAGGACCAACTCGCAGAGCAAGTAGGACCAACTCACAGACCAGGTAGGACCAACTCACAGACCAGGTAGGACCAACTCGCACAGTAGGTTAGACTTACTTGACCTTATTTGAGAGTGTGTATTGTATTACTGTCATTTCCTGTAGGTCAGTATTTTGAATGAAAAGTTTGTTCCTCCAATCAGGTGGAAAAGCTGAAGATGGAGGTGGGGAAGAGAGCCAATCAGAATAAGTCTAAAGAGAGAGCTGGAGACGCTAAGAGGATACAGGACCTAGAACGACAGGTGAATCAGTTGAGCAATATTTCCTGTGTGCGTGCGTGCACCTATCCCTGATTAACGGCATACCTCTCCTATCTCATGACTAATATTTATCCTCCCCCTCTCTCCCAGGTGAAGGAGATGGAGAAGATTCTCAGACATAGGAACCCGAACTCCCTCACAGCGCTGATCTACGCTGCAGTCAACGCACCTGCAGTGGATGAGGATGGAGGGGCCAAGAGCTCCCCGCCCACTCAGACCAGGGCCCTATTGGAGCGGCGCATCCAGAGGCTGGAGGCGGAGCTAGAGAGCCGTGACGACGAGGCCAAACGCAGCCTCCGAGCCATGGAACAGCAGTACCAGCGGATTAAGGTCTGTTCATACTCTCAGCTGTGTGGCACTGTTATGTACTCATACAACCCTGTGTTCCCATTCCCTGTCACTAGGCCTCACAGTCCTGTACCAATTAACTCTCTACACATGCTTACGATGACTTACTCTGACATACAGTACCAGTCAAAAGTTTGGACACACCTACTCATTCCAGGATTTTTCTTTATTTGTACTGTTTTCTACATTGTAGAATAATAGTAAAGACAACAAAACTATGAAATAACACATATGGAATCATGTAGTAAACAAAAAAGTGTTAAACAGATCAAAATATATTTGAGATTTGAGATTCTTCAAATAGCCACCCTTTGCCTTGATGACAGCTTTGCACATTCTTGGCATTCTCTCAACCAGCTTCTTCATGAGGTAGTCACCTGGAATGCATTTCAGTTAACAGGTGTGCCTTGTTAAAAGTACATTTGTGGAATTTCTTTCCTTCTTAATGCGTTTGAGCCAATCAGTTGTGTTGTGACAATGTAGGGATGGTATACAGAAGATAGCCCTATTTGGTAAAAGACCAAGTCCATATTATGGCAAGAACAGCTCAAATAAGCAAGGAGAAACGACAGTCCATCATTACTTTAAGACATGAAGGTCAGTCAATCCAGAAAATGTCAAGAACTTTGAACGTTTCTTCAAGTGCAGTTTCAAAAACCATCAAGCGCTATGATGAAACTGGCTCTCATGAGGATCTCCACAGCAATGGAAGACCCAGAGTTACCTCTGCTGCAGAGGATAAGTTCATTAGTTCCCAGCCTCAGAAATTGCAGCCCAAATAAATTATTCACGGAGTTCAAGTAACAGACACATGTCAACATCAACTGTTCAGAGGGGACTGTGTGAATCAGGCATTCATGGTGGAATTGCTGCAAAGAAACCACTACTAAAGGACACCAATAAGAAGAAGAGACCTGCTTGGGCCAAGAAACACGAGCAATGGACATTAGACCGGTGGAAATGTGTTCTTTGGTCTGGAGTCCAAATTTGAGATTTTTGGTTCCAACTGCCGTGTCTTTGTGAGATGCAGTGTGGGTGAACGGATGATCTCTGCATGTGTATTTCCCACCGTAAAGCATGGAGGAGGAGGTGTGATGGTGTGGGGGTGCTTTGCTGGTGACATTGTCTCTGATTTATTTAGAGTTCAAGGCACACTTAACCAGCATGGCTTTCACAGCATTTTACAGTGATACGCCATCCCGTCTGGTTTGGGCTTAGTGGGATTATCATTTATTTTTCAACAGGACAATGGCCCAACACACCTCCAGGCTGTGTAAGGGCTATTTTACCAAGAAGGAGAGTGATGGAGTGCTGCATCAGATGACCTGGCCGCCACAATCCCCTGACCTCAACCCAATTTGAGATGGTTTGGGATGAGTCGGACCACAGAGTGAAGGAAAAGCAGCCTACAAGTGCTCAGCATATGTGGGAACTCCTTCAAGACTGTTGGAAAAGCATTCCAGGTGAAGCTGGTTGAGAGAATGCCAAGAGTGTGCAAAGCTGTCATCAAGGCGAAGGGTGGCCATTTGAAGAATCTCAAATATAAAATATATTTTGATTTCTTTAACACTTTTTTTTTTTCTGTTTACTACATGATTCCATATGTGTTATTTCAAAGTTTTGATGTCTTCACTATTATTCTACATTGTAAAAATAAAGAAAAACCCTTCAATGTGTAGTTGTGTCCAAACTTTTGACTGGTAGTGTACATGGCCTTGCTGTAAACACAACAGCTTCCACACATTGCCACAACGGTCTCATACACGTAACGGTGTCCACACACACACAAAATGGCCTCACACACAACAGAACTCAAATTGCCTCTTAGAACTACTTGAAGATGTTCATCCTCAACATAAAACACTCACTGAATGTCCTCTCTCACAAAAAGGAAAGATGAGAACATGGTGATGACTCATTACTGTTCCCCCAATTCTCTTCGCATGTCTTTTTAGAGAGGGGTTAGAGAGGGCAAGTTCCAACCGCCTTGTACAACACAACACTTGAATTGAAAGTTCTGTTAAAAGCTCACGATGGAGACCTTGATGATGTCCATGATTCACTCCCTCCTCCTCTGTATGATATGTGTTATCCTTTCCAAATGTATGATGTCATTAGTCTTAATGTGATGGTTCATTAGACCAACACTGCACCGGAAAAAGCTTTTTTCAGAAAATGTGTTGTGAGATGAATAAATTGTATGAATGGAAATAAATCCCTTAAATATAGAAGTAGACTCACTTACATTGTGTGTGTGTGTGTGTGTGTGTGTGTGTGTGTGTGTGTAGCTCCAGTATGAGCAGCAGATCAGTAGTCTGGAGCAGCGGTTATCCCAGAAACACCAGGACCAGACCGGGTCTCCTGGGGTCTGGCAGGCCCAGGTCTGCTCCCTGCAGCAGGAACTGGAGCACCTGAAGGAGAACCATCAGAGTAGAGAGAAAACTCTACAGGCTGAGGTCCACTCCCTACAGGAGCAGCTCACACAACAGGCACAGGTAGGCCTTCTTGTTAGCCCACCTAAGAGCACCACTATGGAAATAAGCCTTAATAATTCATCCTGGATAATTGTTTTAAATGTATGTCATGTTACCTGGAGCAGGTGTATGTGTATTTTAATCAAATAAATTGATCAGTCTACCAACGAGCCAGAGAGAGCCCCCCAGCGCAGCCCGTCCCGCCACCAGCGCCAAACAGAGACGGCCCTGGGGGTCCGGATAGAGAGACTCAACCAGGAGCTGTCAGCCAAGACCCGCAGCGTCCAGGAGCTGAGCCGCACCGTGGAGAGACTCCAGAGGGAGAGGAAGACCATGCTGTGTGGCCCTGGCCCCAGATCAGAGGGCCGTGTTGGGCCTGGCGAGGCCAGGCGGCAGGCAACCGGATCCAAAGGACCCATGGTGGTGGTGGCTACCCCAGGGGAGAGGGGAGGCACGGTGGGAGGAGGGGGAGAGACCGCAACCTTCCCTCCCACTCAGGATGAGAAGGACTACCAGCCCACAGCGTTCTCTGGGAGCCATATCTCAGAGGTGCTGCAGGAGAGCGAGGGGTTAAGGCTGCGTCTAGAGCAGCTGGAGCTGCAGATGGACAAGGAGAGGGTGGTACTGCAGGCTGCAGCCACACAGGCCCAGGCCCAGCTACGCAGGTATGTAGACACACACTCATTTTGAATGCTTTATTTCAGTACAAAGGACTCCAATAGTTCAGTGGTTATGCAGGTGCCTGAACATTGTTCATTGATAGAACTTCTGTAAGGCTTTTTCACAATGATGTGTACAAACACTGTCTGTATGGAGGAAACTTACTGCCCATAACAGCAGCCTGAATTCATATTCCACCTCAGGGCTCAACATTAATACTCTTCCTCTTGTCCGGGCCAAGTATTTTTATTTAATGTTTTATGTCGGAAAATAAGAAAATAGATTTGAGTAAGTAAGAAATCACAATGTCAAACAATTACTCCGAACAGAATTGGATCAGAGAGGCCAACATTGGAATAATATTCTGAAGGATGATTAACATTAACGTCTAAAGGCTTGATTCTGTCGACATACTCAAGCCACAGTTCGTTCAGATCAAATGGTCACGAGCAGAGAGTGAAGGACAGTGTCTGTTGTGTACCACACATCACCCACCTTGAATCTGAGTGGAGGCGGTCAGCCTTTTGAAACTATTTAACCATAAACTTAATTGTTTAAAACCTGGATGTTTTATGTGATTTTATGAAGCATGTTTTACCTTGATTCAAAGTAGCCTAGCCTAGCCAAAGTACGACCATAGAAGTGTTGAGGGAATTATTTTATAAACACTTAATATGCCATTTCAAACCAGCATTTTGCTCGTGTTCCTTTATTTTTCATATCAATGTTTTTTTACTGTCCAGCAGCCAAAGGCATAATCCTAGTCACATGAAACCGCTCACACATGCAGTGAACTTTTGAGAACTGTTTTCCCTCTAAATTACATTTTGGAATATTCCCGCTTAGTTTTCAGCCATGTGCGCATTGTTGAGCTTATAATATGAAGAAATAAAATGTTATCAACATTTTAAACTAAACGGTCTGATCTGTTTCATCAGCCTCATTGCTTTTTAAAATTGTATGTGCAGCGGTTGTATGAATTTTGGATCTATCTTCCCAGAGCTGTCCCAGAGTCTGTTTTGAATACCTTTTTTATCGTCCCAGGGACGATGGGACGCCCTTAATTTCGAGCACTGGCTGGAAATTATTTTTTGAAGACATAAAAATAATTTGGTTGTAATTGTGATGTTGCAAAATTCTATAGGCTACCAAGAGTGGCCAACTGTCCTCCAGGAGAGCCTTAAAGGGGCAGTGTTGTATTTTGAGACAGGCTAGAATATACAAAGAAGCCAATAGGCAGAGTGTAGCCTACATTTATGTCTGATTCTCTATGGTAAAAAAGATAGTGGTTCCTTGCATCATACAATGAAGTAAAAATGGTGTTACAGATTTTTTTGTTGTTGTGGGGGACAAGTGACCTAAGCTTTTGGACAAGTAAAAAAAAAAAAACAGACCTACTTGTCCAAAGGATAAGTGGCTAAAAAAGTTAATGTCAAGCCCTGCACCTGGTTAGCTGTTTTTCTATGGCAGCCCTGTTGCAAACTGCAGCCCACGCTAATGCACTTGTTCGAGACCACAAAAAATAAACTCCCAGAAATGGCTGTCTAATCCGAGGCTGGTGGTAATTTATAAAGATAATTGCAACACACTCAGGCACTCAGAGAAATGTCAACATGATTCTCAATCCCAAATAGACCCCTAATCACTACACCCTAGGCATGCGTTTGATACATGCATTTGATGCCGTCCCATTCATCCAGCCATTACATTGAGCATGTCCTCCGATTTTTTAAGTCACACCAGCCTCCACTGGTATGTAATGTAATATGTAACCGTGTGGTGGTTTTTACTACCTCCGAGGTCCAGGGGCCTCATTTATAAACGTTGCGTTAATTTCGCATTTAAATATCTGCGTAAGCCATTTCTGAAAAGAATGCATGCATATACAAATATTGAGATTCATAAACTTGGCATACGTCATACATACGCATGCTTCCCGTTATAAATCAGACCCATCCTAAAACTAAACACATTGTGAACGAGCATTATAACTCCACCTGGAAAACGCCAATCATTCACATATTATGGTGACAATAACACCCTTATTTTCCATATAATTTGGAACTGTTGGAATTAGCCCAAAGCGGTTTCTAAAAGAAATTGCAATGGCAAATGTGATAAAATGTTTTTGCATCTTGTTATTATACTTTCCAGTTTTTTAAAAGTTTTTTTATGAAATAGCTTGTCATTATATCCCTTATTTGCATAAAATACTACTTGCCTCCTTGCAATGCATTACTTCAACCACTAGAAATTGTGCGTACGCATGGTCTAAAGTTTGCGAGGAGGTAAGCAGTTTCTCACGTCAAGTTTAGTTTTTGTAAATGCCAACTTTTGTGTGAAAACGCATGTTTTGTGGTATATGTTGTACATACGTAATGTTGTAAATATGTCCCCTGGTGTGCTGACCACCAGAGGATTAGGGTTAGATGATATGTGATGGTGTATCATGTATCTACAGTGGGGGAAAAAAAGTATTTAGTCAGCCACCAATTGTGCAAGTTCTCCCACTTAAAAAGATGAGAGAGGCCTGTAATTTTCATCATAGGTACACGTCAACTATGACAGACAAATTGAGGAAAAAAATTCCAGAAGATCACATTGTAGGATTTTTAATGAATTTATTTGCAAATTATGGTGGAAAATAAGTATTTGGTCACCTACAAGCAAGATTTCTGACTCTCACAGACCTGTAACTTCTTCTTTAAGAGGCTCCTCTGTCCTCCACTCGTTACCTGTATTAATGGCACATGTTTGAACTTATCAGTATAAAAGACACCTGTCCACAACCTCAAACAGTCACACTCCAAACTCCACTATGGCCAAGACCAAGGAGCTGTCAAAGGACACCAGAAACAAAATTGTAGACCTGCACCAGGCTGGGAAGACTGAATCTGCAATAGGTAAGCAGCTTGGTTTGAAGAAATCAACTGTGGGAGCAATTATTAGGAAATGGAAGACATACAAGACCACTGATAATCTCCCTCGATCTGGGGCTCCACGCAAGATCTCACCCCGTGGGGTCAAAATGATCACAAGAACGGTGAGCAAAAATCCCAGAACCACACGGGGGGGACCTAGTGAATGACCTGCAGAGAGCTGGGACCAAAGTAACAAAGCCTACCATCAGTAACACACTACGCCGCCAGGGACTCAAATCCTGCAGTGCCAGACGTGTCCCCCTGCTTAAGCCAGTACATGTCCAGGCCCGTCTGAAGTTTGCTAGAGTGCATTTGGATGATCCAGAAGAGGATTGGGAGAATGTCATATGGTCAGATGAAACCAAAATAGAACTTTTTGGTAAAAACTCAACTCGTCGTGTTTGGAGGACAAAGAATGCTGAGTTGCATCCAAAGAACACCATACCTACTGTGAAACATGGGGGTGGAAACATCATGCTTTGGGGCTGTTTTTCTGCAAAGGGACCAGGACGACTGATCCGTGTAAAGGAAAGAATGAATGGGGCCATGTATCGTGAGATTTTGAGTGAAAACCTCCTTCCATCAGCAAGGGCATTGAAGATGAAACGTGGCTGGGTCTTTCAGCATGACAATGATCCCAAACACACCGCCCGGGCAACGAAGGAGTGGCTTCGTAAGAAGCATTTCAAGGTCCTGGAGTGGCCTAGCCAGTCTCCAGATCTCAACCCCATAGAAAATCTTTGGAGGGAGTTGAAAGTCTGTGTTGCCCAGCGACAGCCCCAAGACATCACTGCTCTAGAGGAGATCTGCATGGAGGAATGGGCCAAAATACCAGCAACAGTGTGTGAAAACCTTGTGAAGACTTACAGAAAATGTTTGACCTGTGTCATTGCCAACAAAGGGTATATAACAAAGTATTGAGAAACTTTTGTTATTGACCAAATACTTATTTTCCACCATAATTTGCAAATAAATTCATTAAAAATCCTACAATGTGATTTTCTGGATTTTCTTTTCTCATTTTGTCTGTCATAGTGCTGACTAAATACTTTTTTTCCCCACTGTACCTGTCCTACAGGGTCCAGAGCCCTATACTACGTACCTGGTTTGAGGAGTTAGCGAGTTAACTTTGGTGAACTCTGAATTCAACTCAGGATAACCTGTAGTATGAAAGTAGCTCACCTTTTAGCCAGGTACATTTCTTAGGCAACAAATCCTTCACAACTACCCTGCTCCAGGGCAGGCTAACTCATGGCTGACTCCATTTATCCTGAATGAAGTGTCTGAGCCACGAGTTGAGGACCAATGAATTCAGATTCTCTCCCTCTCGCAAAGATTACGTCATCATCCCTTCATTTGAGGAAGACGACTGATTTAATAAAAAATTGTATTAATGTTTTTTGTGTTTAAAATGCCTATCACATTACACATTTAGTAATAACAGAATGCATTTTAAACTTCATGCACAGTAAAACGTTGGTAATACAATTATTTGATCAATAGGAGTGGGGGAAAAAAGGTAAACACACCAAAGACGGCATTAACAATAAATAATAAAATAAAGACGGCCCTTCTAAAAGGGTCCTACTAATCACCCCAAAAGTACCCAAAACAACCACAAACCGGTACCCAAAAGTTGGGCATTAATTGGCCAGCCAAATGACCGCAGTGTCCGTAATAACTGTTGGAATAGCAAAAAATATATATACCTTTTTTTGTACGCAATTATTTAATTTTTTCTCCGCTCCTGACTGCATGTGCTGCCATAGATTCTATTTCTGTGTGCCTCTGCTGCATCTTGCCTGCACCTTTTGTATATGTACTCGTTTGCTACAACACCTTCCTTGTTTCAGCAAGGCGCAACAAAGTTTCATCACGTGCAGAAATGGGCTCAACCACACGAATGCCCAGCCGGTAATATGGTAATTGTGCCAGCCCTACACTAAAGAACCCAACACAACCACAAACAGGTACTCAAAACAACCCCAAAATACCTAAAAGAACCACAAACTGTTTCCCCCCCACCTCCCCCTGTCTCCCCCACCAGGTGCTGGTAAAGGTCAGGGGTGGTTGGGCAGGTACTGAACCACATCTGTCCCCACCCCAGAGAGGCAGGAAATCTCTCGCTCTCTCTCGCCATACTACTACCTGTCTAATAAACTGTCTGATTATGGCTGGAATGAAGGATGACTGATAGGCTGTGTGAAGGGTAATGATGGGAGGACTATCCTCCATGATGACCTACTGTATGGATGTTTCCCAAATGCCACACTATTCTCTATAAAGTGCACTACCCATAGGGATCTGGTCAAAAGTAGTGCACTATATAGGGAATAGGGTGGCATTTGGAACTCAGCCTATGTAGCAGAGGAGGACGTAGCTCCCAGCCAGTGATTCACATATTGATCTGATCCATAATAGGGTGATTGGGTTGATCACATGATCGATCGGCAGTCACTAACCTTGTTACTGTCTGAAGGTGACACATACATGGATTTCCATTATTTCATACAGAGAGGTGAGACTAACTTGCGTCCCAAATTGCAACCTATTCCCTGTGTAGTACACTACTTTTGACCAGAGTTCTGGTCAAAAGCAATGGACAATAAAGGGAATAGGGTGCCATTTGGAACACAGACAGCGTCCCTGGCCATCTGGTGTTGGCAGCACCTTGTCCCAACATCTGAATGCATCAACAGACTGGGCACACGGATCTACATACTAATCACAGGTAATCTCATTGAAGGAGGAGAGGTGACTCTGCCAAAACATGTAGTAGGGTGTCAAACCCACTCTGCCCAGAGCTTTTGTGATGAAATTTCACTTCCTTATGTTATAAAATACATTTTACTAAGACAAATAAGATTATTCATGTTCTGAATCGTTCAGTGGTGTTTTTCTTTAACATACGCTACCAGTCAAAAGTTTGGACACACCTACTCATTGAAGGGTTTTTCTTTATTTTTACAATTTTTTACAATGTAGAATAATAGTGAAGACTTCAAAACTATGAAATAACACATGGAATCATGTAGTAAACAGAAAAAAAGTGTTAAACAAATCTAAATATATTTTATATTTGAGATTCTTCAAATGGCCACCCTTTGCCTTGATGACAGCTTTGCACACTCTTGCCATTCTCTCAACCAGCTTCACCTGGAATGCTTTTCCAACAGTCTTGAAGGAGTTCCCACATATGCTGAGCACTTGTTGGCTGCTTTTCCTTCACTCTGCGGTCCGACTCTTCCCAACCAATCTCAATTGTGTTGTGGTCAGGGGATTGTGGAGGCCAGGTCATCTGATGCAGCACTCCATCACTCTCTTTCTTGGTCAAATAGCCCTTACACAGCCTGGAGGTGTGTTGGGCCATTGTCCTGTTGAAAAACAAATGATAAGCCCAAACCAGACGGGATGGCGTATCACTGTAGAATGCTGTGAAAGCCATGCTGGTTAAGTGTGCCTTGAACTCTAAATAAATCACAGACAATGTCACCAGCAAAGCACCATCACACCTCCTCCTCCATGCTTTACGGTGGGAAATACACATGCGGAGATCATCCGTTCACCCACAACGCATATCACAAAGACACGGCGGTTGGAACCAAAAATCTCCAATTTGGACTCCAGACCAAAGGACACATTTCCACCGGTCTAATGTCCATTGCTCGTGTTTCTTGCCCCAAGCAGGTCTCTTCTTATTGGTGTCCTTTAGTAGTAGTTTCTTTGAACTACTAAACTGCATGTGCAGTTACACGACTGATAGTTAGCGGCAGGCGGCTGAGCAATATCCACCGTTGTAATACGGATGAAGCCGTAAAAAATGTAAGCCTGTGCAGGAATGTAAATCTAGCTAGCGTTGTAGTATACCCCTCTGGAGCATTGACCACCAGAGGTTTAGGGTTAGAGGATGCTAGATGATATGTAAACGGTGCATCTACCATCCTGCAGGGTACAGGAGCATTCAGCAGACCAGGTGTCCTCTCTCAGGGCTGACCATCAGAGGGAGCTGGAGCGCCTGCTTACCAGCCACGCCCTCGCCCACTCCTCCTCTAAAGTGGCCGAACTGACCAATCAGGTGACCACGCAGGAGGTAAAGGCTCACAATGGACCAATCACATGTCAACTAATAGTTATTGGTGTTGTTCTTCCAGGTATAACGTATCAACAGGATAAACAGGTTTGTGTGTCTTTATGAACCTTCAGATCATGGTGCAGCACTTGCGTGACCAGGTGAAGGAACTGCAGGGGACCAAGGATGCTCTGGCTGTGTCCAAGCTGAGGGAGGACACCCTACAGAACCAGGTACTTATGATTCAGATAACATTTATCGTCCTCTCAACTTCATCAACACACTAGTGTTATCACAGTACTTGAAGTGTCATAGCAAGGAAACAACACAAGGTGAGTGTATTTCCTGGGGATAGCTCAACATTAATGGTTGTTTCATCTCTTTAACGCTTTCTTTAGCTGACGAAGCTGTTGGAGGAGCTGAAGCAGGCCAAGGAGTGCCACAGCCCAGAGCTCAGACACTTCACTAGCCTGGAGAGAAAGATCCACAGCATGGAGCTACGACACACTCAGAGGGAGAAAGAGCTCCAGCAGGTGAACACACACACACACACACACTATCCACACGCGCACACACACACACACACACAGAGGAAGAAAGAGCTGCTGCAGGTAAATACACACACCACCCACAGAAAGAACACTGAATAACACACACTGACCAAACACTGAACATTAACACATATGTCCACGGTGCCATCCTGCAGGTGATGGGTCAGACTCGGCTGGTGGTGGAGGCTGAGCAGCAGTCTGAGGTGGAGCGTTGGAGGAGGCTGGCTCAGGGGAAGACCCAGGAGCTGGAGGTGTTCCGTCTGGAACTGGACTCTATCCTGGACGTCCTGAGAGAACTACAGAGACAGGGAGTGGTCATCCCTGCTCCAGACCGGGATTCTGCTGTACCCTTCACCTAGAGGACCTGAACCATGGGACATAGGCTCTTTCTAATTAGTTACAAATCTGTCCTCACCTTGTCTGATCTGAAAGAATTGACCAGGTGAAAGCCAGCCTAATGATGAGCTTCCACTATTGTTTAAACCGGTTAAGTATTTTTTGTTCAGTGCAGATGAAGGGGAGGAGACGAGGAGAGGGCGGATTTGTAAGCAATTGAGAGCCAACTCACACACCCTTTAGGAGAACCCATCATTGTACTGAACAATCAGGTAATTTATTTTTGTAGATTTGTATTTTTATACTTGATCATTGGAATTTATTTTAAGTTATTCAATGCGTGTTAGAAAAATAAAGGACATTTTGTATAATTTTTTCCTGTGTGTTTGAATTTGTAACAAGTGTTCAGTAAAGCACAAAGTTGACTAACAAATGATTCAAATTCAGACATTTTGAAATTGGCCTATTGTTATCCCCAAGATGATTGTTGCTGTTGACTCCAATTGTCGGTTGTTGCTACTCATTAGCATATCATCAAAGCTCCTTTACACGTATTAGCATAACATCTGACAAGAAGAAAGTGGCTGTAGTTATTCATGGCAGCGAAGCGTTTTGTTCTGCAGGTGCACAGCAGGGCTTTTCGCTCTCTTGTAAACCCAACACAATAATGTTAGGTTTATTCTCCCCTGATCTAATCCTTAGAATTAGAGGATTGTAACTGAAACTCTGCATCAAACACTGCAGGGATTTTAAAGTTCTACTCTAGTCTCCTTTTCACCTCATTTACTTAGCAAAAGGCACATCTCAATAGGTGGTCCAGGTAACTCATGACATAGCACAAGTGGGGGGGCGGGCCTTTCCTCTTTTGTTCTCTATTGTTTCTCAAGCAAGTGGGGAGGCCGATGACATCACATCAGACCAACTCCCTGAATGCCCTACTCCTTGAAGTTTGCAGTTGTCTATAAAACACTCATGTATTTTAGTGTGTACTTTACTGTATTTATACTTGGGATATCACTTTTCAAAAGGGAAAGTTAAAAGTTAAATCCTGTAAAAATGAAAAGAAAACAATAGTGAAACAATTCACCACTTGTTTTTATCTTCAGAATTAGAGAACGTTTCTGATTCATGGTTCCATGGTACTTTGAAATGGTTATATAATTAACACAATCAGCTGGCGTTTTAAATAGTTTTATTTAGTCACAACCTTCTATAGACTTGACAGATGAGACATTGATATGACATGTAGGCAAAGCATTGACAGGAGCAACACGGTATATAAAAAGTTGGAAGTTTACATACACTTAGGTTGGAGTCATTAAAACTCGTTTTTCAACCACTCCACAAATGTCTTGTTAACAAACTATTGTTTTGGCAAGTCGGTTGGGACATCTGCTTTGTGCATGACACAAGTAATTTTTCCAACAATTGTTTACAGACAGATTATTTCACTTATAATTCACTGTATCACAATTCCAGTGGGTCAGAAGTTTACATACACTAAGTTGACTGTGCCTTTAAACAGCTTGGAAAATTCCAGAAAATAATGTCATGTCTTTAGAAGCTTCTGATAGGTCAATTGGAGGTGTACCTGTGGATGTATTTCAAGGCCTACCTTCAAACTCATTGCCTCTTTGCTTGACATCATGGGAAAATCAAAAGAAATCAGCCAAAACCTCAGAAAAAAAATTTGTAGACCTCAAAGTCTGGTTCATCCTTGGGAGCAATTTCCAAACGCCTGAAGGTACCACGTTCATCTGTACAAACAATAGTACGCAAGTATAAACACCATGGGACCACGCAGCCGTCATACCGCTCAGGAAGGAGACACGTTCTGTCTCCTAGAGATGAACGTACTTTGGTGCGAAAAGTGCAAATCAATCCCAGAACAACAGCAAAGGACGTTGTGAAGATGCTGGAGGAAACAGGTACAAAAGTATCTATATCCACAGTAAAACGAGTCCTATATCGACATAACCTGAAAGGCTGCTCAGCAAGGAAGAAGCCACTGCTCCAAAACCGCCATAAAAAAGCCAGACTACGGTTTGCAACTGCACATGGGGACAAAGATCGTACTATTTGGAGAAATGTCCTCTGGTCTGATGAAAAAAAAATAGAACTGTTTGGCCATAATGACCATCGTTATGTTTGGAGGAAAAAGGGGGTGCCTTGCAAGCCGAAGAATACCATCCCAACCGTGAAGCACGGGGGTGGCAGCATCATGCTGTGGGGGTGCTTCGCTGCAGGAGGGACTGGTGCACTTCACAAAATAGATGGCATCATGAGGAAGGAAAAGTATGTGGACATATTGAAGCAACATCTCAAGACATCAGTTAGGAAGTTAAAGCTTGGTCGCAAATGGGTCTTCCAAATGGACAATGACCCCAAGCATACTTCCAAAGTTGTGGCAAAATGGCTTAAGGACAACAAAGTCAAGGTATTGGAGTGGCCATCACAAAGCCCTGACCTCAATCCTATAGAACATTTGTGGGCAGAACTGAAAAAACGTGTGCGAGCAAGGAGGTCTAGAAACCTCATTCAGTTACACCAGCTCTGTCAGGAGGAATAGGCCAAAATTCACCCAACTTCTTGTGGGAAGCTTGTGGAAGGCTACCCGAAACGTTTGGCCCAAGTTAAACAATTTAAAGGCAATGCTACCAAATACTAATTGAGTGTATGTAAACTTCTGACCCACTGGGAATGTGATGAAAGAAATAAAAGCTGAAATAAATAATTCTCTCTACTATTATTCTGACATTTCACATTCTTAAAATAAAGTGGTGATCCTAACTGACCTAAGACAGGGAATTTGTACAAGGATTAAATGTCAGGAATTGTGAAAAACTGAGTTTAAATGTATTTGGCTAAGGTGTATGTAAACTTCGGACTTCAACTGTATATAACAGTTTAGAGTGATGAACAGGTGTGCTACGATTAGTACTGAACAAGGACAACATTCAGACTGCTGTTGAATTGAAAACCCAATAGAAGAGTCTTGCCTTTCTGGTGTATTTTGGTTATTGCATCAAATTGTCCTTACCTCTTCTTGTCTCCATCCCCTTAATTGACTCCTGCAAGGCCTCCACCACTATACATTCTAATCAACTTGAAGTTGGACTTCCAGTTTAGCGTTAATGTGACGTCACAAGTTCTGGCTCTACGTAGGCAACTTTGTTGACATAAAGATTAGAAAAGTAGCTCATCTCACATATGTACATTTAAATGATTATATTTGGACTATTTTAGCCTGAACCAAATCTGAACAGAATGAAAAGGGCAGGATGTACAGTTACAGTAAGAGGATCCATAATATTCCATAATGTCCTAACAGAGGTGCTGTGAGAAGCTGGAACCACAGCCTAATTTGGAGAGCTTGCACTGTACATGACCGGCACAACACAGTTAGAATGTTAGATTAGGACCTATTTGAACCTCCATAAATTTGGTTGACACAACTCTCTCTATATAAGGCTGGTGAGTCCTGTGATGTCCTCATAATTATCCATAATGTCCTAACGGAGGTGGTGTGAGAAATAAGCTGGACCATAGTCTATTGTGTGATGGGCAGGACTGTCCATCTTGTGAAGGGCGCTGCGTGGCCGATGACACTCCCCCTCTAGGATGATTGGTGGTTCCCCCAGTTAATCGTGTGATGGGCCCCATGGGAATGACACTCCCCCGCCAGGATGATTGGCGGCTCCCCAGGAAGTAGAGGGGACCTTAGTCCATCATGTGATGTGTGCTGTGGGGCCGATGACACTCCCCCTCCATGATGATTGGCGGCTCCCCCAGCAGCAGATCGTCCTCCCCCAGGGCGGAGCTGTGCTCGGAGTTCACAACGTTAGGGATGTTGAAGTGGGACAGGAACATTGCCTCTCTGTGGTCAGTCCGGTTCCCCCCCAGCATGGCAGCCCCTTGCAGGGCAAGGCTGACACCTACCCCTTCTCCTATCCTCACCACCACCCCCTCCTCCTCCTCTGGGCTGCCTGACCTGCCTCGCCCCAGCGCCGGGACCAGCCCTCCTCTGGGTGCTCCCACAGCTCCTGCCCCAGCTCTAGGCCTGGACCCCCCCTGGGCCTGGGCCTGTTCCTCATTGATGTAGCAGTGGAAGAGGGAGCAGCTGAGAGAGGAGTCCAGTAGGGGGCGATGGAGGCAGGGCCGGTTGACAGGGTCTGCAGGGGGGCAGAGGTCCTCCACACAGCTGGTCAGACGAACACGCTTGTTACGGGGCTCAGCTCCTCTGGACAGGGGGACAGTTGAGGACCAGGAGTGTATCAGAAGAAAAATAGGTGTGACTACCTCACAATTAAAAGTGAAAAACATCAATTGCCTTAATCAGAATCAGGGAGGACAGGGAGGGAAGAAAGAGACATGGATGTTAGGTAAGAGGGTATCATGTATTCCCTTTTGGGGCGTATGACTCTTCATTCATGCTCTCATTTTGGTGCAAAAATCTTTGGATTGTATAATCAATGCATGTTTGGAAAGAGCTGTGTTGCACATCCGTGCGCTAAGTCTGTGTATATTGGCTCAACACCATATTTCTATCCTCTTAGCGGCGTGTGTTTTGTTTTTTGTCTTTAGCTCAGCTCAGTATAGAGAGGGAGGGAGAGGGAGGGAGAGAGTAAGCTGAGTAAATGGATGTCATGGTGTTGGACTGGAGCAGTGGAGTGCTGTGATCAGCAGACCTGGGAGGTTAACAGGCTTGGCCCTGAGGTTTGTCTGTAAGGGATCCCAGAGCTGAGCCTGGCAGAGATCCACTCCAGAGGAACAGATACATACAGACTCACTGGCTCAGCTCTCTGACAGCTATTGAGAGAGCCATGGCACCCGCCACACACACAGTCACAGCGATGAGGGTGGTTCATAGAGTGAAAGAAATTGAGCTTAAAGAAAGAGTCAGCTTAGAGAGAGTTGAGAAAGGGAGACTGGCAGAGAGAGAGGGGATGGAGCTCCAAGAGAAAGAGAATTCAGACACTGTATGCAAACAGACTGCATCATCACATTGCCGTACGATAATTGCTATGCAATTGTTGCAGTCTATGCACCGCATCACCACAATCAGAATCACGCAACATGGACGTTTTAATCATTATCTTTCAGCCACATGCTGTGTGTAACAACAGGCTCACTTTATTATGAATCAAATCAGCAATAGCAATGGCATAGGTCTATATTACATAAAACATAATTGGTAACACTTTACTTGACACCCAGCATCATAACACGTTATGACACAGTGATAACCATGTCATAATATGTGATAACAGCTGACATAACCGGTTATAATATGGTCATAACACTGTCATGACACATTTATTTAGACCTGTTGTGACGTATATTGTGTTATTTTATGGCTGGTTATGACACCTACATAAGAGTGTCAAAACCCACAAAACCTACCACACAAGGCAAAACATTCCATTTCACTATAGCCTACTTGTCAACAGTATGTTTATGTTATATAATTGATATTTTATTTTTTATTGACCATGTTAAATTATCATTGTAATTGCGCACACATTGATGTCAGACATGCACCCACCCCAATGTCCTGTTAATGATGACTGGGATGAATGCAGGAGCAGATTTCAGGAGCAGGATAAGACACCCTCTTTTGGACTGATGACTGATGTAAGGGCATGTAAGTGATAGGCGTTTCTGGCTTATATGATTATGATGGTCATATTGCTACTTGGCAGTGTCATAAAGTGTATTTTTTTAGTCTAAGTAAAGTGACACAGGATGGTCATAATGCTTCATGACAGTGTCATAAAGTGTATTTAAAATATGATGAAAAAACATGACTGTAAAGAATTCATTACAACAAAAACAAAGGATTTAAGAGACATACTTTCAAATGAAAGGAAACTTCTTGGCAGGGAAAAAAACTAATTTGAATAAATGTAGGCTTTCACACTCTTATGAAGGTGTCATAACCAGCCATAATATAAAATAACACCATGTATGTCACAACAGGTGTACATATATGGGTCATGACAGTGGTATGACCATATTATGACAGGTTATGACAAGTTATGTCAGCTGTTATGACATATTATGACAGGGCTATGACCGTGTCATAACGTGTTGTGACACTGGGTGTCAACTAAAGTGTTACCACATAATTGCATACAATTATAAACATCATAAACTTTGATCTTGTACTTTAAATGTATTGACCTGTCAAAATGTCTTGTTGCTATCCCATAAACACACAAAAAAGCTACAGATTTGCAGTCTTCTGTGGTTAATCTGCTTCCGTTTCTGAGATCGCACGGCAAAGCAACGCACAAGTTGGAAAATTCCAAAGTATGCAACACACTGCACACACCGACCGCAGCCTAGTCCGGCAGATGAGTCGCAGCGGTGCGGCTTGCCTCCCATTGAAATGAATGGACTTCCACCGGAACGCATACAGTTTACCGCAGTTTGTTTGCACGAGGCTAGAGAGAGAGATGAGGGGAGTGGGAGAGAGACAGGGCACAGAGGGAGGCAGAAGAGAGGGACCACCAAGGAAGAGATCTCTGACTGAAAAGGAGAGAGAAAGAAGGATTGAGGCAGAGTTTATAATAAGAAAAATGAGGGCGCTGGCAGAGAGAGAGAGAGAGAGAGAGAGAGAGAGAGAGAGAGAGAGAGACTACAACCATGGATGCTACAAGCATGGATAAAAGGGAAGAGGGCTGCTGATAATTAGAATACTTTACTAAGAGGTCATCAAACATCAGAGTGCACTGAGACTGGGAGCGAGAATTGTCTCACTTACAGAGAGGAAAACCAAGAGACACTCTAGCATAATGCTGAAGCTCTCCAAACAATGATCTGAACCAGGCGCTCTCTGTGGTGCTGAAGCAGAACTAACCACAGCCTGTGTAAGGCTCTGCCACTAACACGCCTGGTGCTGTCCATGGTGCTGAAAACAAAGTACCACAAAACTTGGGATATGAAACAGCCACACTGACAATGGTATTTACCTGGTGTGAAAAATTATTGCGCATGCTAAGAAACTGTCCGTGGTGCTGAACCACCACTAATAAGCATGGTGCTGTCCATGTTCCTGAAAAGCACCATGAAACTTGGAACATGGACCAGTCACACTGTCTATGCCATTTACCTACAGCGGAAAATAATTGTGTACATGTTAAGAGGCACTGGGGGTTGGTGGACTGCTAAGTAATTCACTTGATTGACGTGATGGCTGGTTGATAAGAGACTCACTCGGGATGTGGAGCTCCTGTCTTGGTGAGCAGCGTCAGGACAAAGAACATGAAGATGACAAAGACAGCCAGGCCCACCCAGAAGCCTATCACAATAGAGTCTGCAACATAACAAGATTTGATTGACAGGGCAAATACATGTTTTAGTTCCAATGTATTGTAGGCTATTACAGTGGGGAAAAAAAGTATTTAGTCAGCCACCAATTGTGCAAGTTCTCCCACTTAAAAAGATGAGAGAGGCACACGTCACGTCAACTATGACAGACAAATTGAGAAAAAAAAATCCAGAAAATCACATTGTAGGATTTTTAATGAATTTATTTGCAAATTATGGTGGAAAATAAGTATTTGGTCACCTACAAACAAGCAAGATTTCTGGCTCTCACAGACCTGTAACTTCTTCTTTAAGAGGCTCCTCTGTCCTCCACTCGTTACCTGTATTAATGGCACCTGTTTGAACTTGTTATCAGTATAAAAGACACCTGTCCACAACCTCAAACAGTCACACTCCAAACTCCACTATGGCCAAGACCAAAGAGCTGTCAAAGGACACCAGAAACAAAATTGTAGACCTGCACCAGGCTGGGAAGACTGAATCTGCAATAGGTAAGCAGCTTGGTTTGAAGAAATCAACTGTGGGAGCAATTATTAGGAAATGGAAGACATACAAGACCACTGATAATCTCCCTCGATCTGGGGCTCCACGCAAGATCTCACCCCGTGGGGTCAAAATGATCACAAGAATGGTGCGCAAAAATCCCAGAACCACACGGGGGGACCTAGTGAATGACCTGCAGAGAGCTGGGACCAAAGTAACAAAGCCTACCATCAGTAACACACTACGCCGCCAGGGACTCAAATCCTGCAGTGCCAGACGTGTCCCCCTGCTTAAGCCAGTACATGTCCAGGCCCGTCTGAAGTTCGCTAGAGTGCATTTGGATGATCCAGAAGAGGATTGGGAGAATGTCATATGGTCAGATGAAACCAAAATAGAACTTTTTGGTAAAAACTCAACTCGTCGTGTTTGGAGGACAAAGAATGCTGAGTTGCATCCAAAGAACACCATACCTACTGTGAAGCATGGGGGTGGAAACATCATGCTTTGGGGCTGTTTTTCTGCAAAGGGACCAGGACGACTGATCCGTGTAAAGGAAAGAATGAATGGGGCCATGTATCGTGAGATTGAGTGAAAACCTCCTTCCATCAGCAAGGGCATTGAAGATGAAACGTGGCTGGGTCTTTCAGCATGACAATGATCCCAAACACACCACCCGGGCAACGAAGGAGTGGCTTCGTAAGAAGCATTTCAAGGTCCTGGAGTGGCCTAGCCAGTCTCCAGATCTCAACACCATAGAAAATCTTTGGAGGGAGTTGAAAGTCTGTGTTTCCCAGCGACAGCCCCAAAACATCACTGCTCTAGAGGAGATCTGCATGGAGGAATGGGCCAAAATACCAGCAACAGTGTGTGAAAACCTTGTGAAGACTTACAGAAAACGTTTGACCTGTGTCATTGCCAACAAAGGGTATATAACAAAGTATTGAGAAACTTTTGTTATTGACCAAATATTTATTTTCCACCATAATTTGCTAATAAATTCATTAAAAATCCTACAATGTGATTTTCTGGAAAAAGTCTTGTCTTGTCTGTCATAGTTGACGTGTACCTATGATGAACATTACAGGCCTCTCTCATCTTTTTAAGTGGGAGAACTTGCACAATTGGTGGCTGACTAAATACTTTTTTTCCCCACTGTATACCTGTAGCATGACAAAAACAACAGTATTTTAAGCACAATGAGATGGAGAGTAGAGAGAGAGAGAGAAAGAGAGAGATAAAGATATGAAAATGTATTATGGTCTAAGTGTCTAGACTGAGGTGACATTGATTTGTGCATGTTATCCTAGAGGGAAAATAAATGTATTGATTGTGTGTGTGTGTGTGTCTAATGTTAAAAGGCTGACACATACAGGCCTAAACAAGGAACCCCCTTACTCAGACACTCTCAGCATTGATATGCTTATATTTCTCTGCAGGGTTTCCACTCTAAGGCTGTCCCTGACAACACAAAACGGACCCCCCACCCCTCCCTCCCTCTTTCATAAACCACACACACACACCCTCTACCTCTTTGTCATTATGTAGAATATCTAGCCACTATACTTAACTTTAACTTCTAGCCAGAAATATAAATGTGATGCAATGAGCCATGGCAATTCTCAGGTATAAATACATGCACACATGATTTGATCACAATTCATTTCTACAATAAAGTAATGCATTCATAACGCAAAGTAGATGGGTGAAATGGATGGAGGGGCAGCACAGTACTATAAACAGAGATCCCGTACTTACATCGGTGCGCTTTGAGTCCCTCGAACGAAACAGGCTCCTCATCGTCGTAATATTCATATGTCCACTTGTAGTCCGGGTCCGGAGCGTTTCCGCCTGATATATTTGATTGGTTAAACTTGGACATCTCCAAAAAGATCCAAGAGCGCAGGAGATTAAAAACAACCAAAACGGCTAACGTTAAATGCCACACCGCAATGTGCCAAACAATGTCGAGTAGTGGTCATAAGTAGATTCGCAAGCTTCAGTCATTGGACACGGGACAATGTTGGTGCGGTGCGTGCGCAGTGAGACAGGTTTATTCCCTCACATCAATAAAAAAAAGCTAGCGAAGTAGGCGAGGATTTCTGAAATTGACTCTCCGTTTAATAACAGCATAACATAGTTATTATATGAGGTATACTAAACTTCACCACACGCAGCTATGTGCTTCCGTCGTGTTCTTACACCGCACGCTCTCCCTCTCTGGATTCGGAACGAAGGTGTGCCTCTCCATTGACATCATCTTGGATTGCTTTCGGACTCGCGCGCTTGGCTAGGATGCGCAGAGCAATAATGAGTTGGAGGACGGTAAAATGGAGAGCGGTAAGTAGGATATGTAGCCTACAATTTTAGAAGAGAGGGGCTGCGATGTGGAGTGATCTTATCACTATCTATCAATGAAAATATTTATGCAAAGGCACTAGTGGCTTTAAACATGTTCTGGACCTGTGTTTTGGAATACTGTCAATAGTCCATCATGTTCAAAGGTCAAGTGTACTCTATTTTATTGTCACGAAGTCTTAGAGTGAAATTACAGCAGCAGAATCCAGGCTATTCTTCATCTATGGTTCAACAGTTAATTAATCAGTGGATATTTGAAAAGCAATGACTTTCAGAAGATACATTTCATTCATCACTCTTTGTTCATCATTGTCTTTCTTTCTCACAGCTGAAATGGAAATCAATGATCTTGTTTAAAATGATATTTAGGGATGAAATATTAACTGAACTGAACGGACGCACAAGGCACTATACAAGCAAGACACTATACAAGCAAGACACTATACAAGCAAGACACTATACAAGCAAGACACTATACAAGCAAGACACTATACAAGCAAGGGCTTTTGAAGATATTAATTTTGAGGTGAAAATGGGACAATCACTTTAAAATTGGTGTAGGCCTATCATTGTAGTGCATGTAAAAGATGTGGGTGAACTCACATTGCAGTTACAGTAAGATAGCAATTTTCACTTTGAATGCTGAACCATAATGGCCTTGGCCTGGTCATTATAGTACACATTCTTAACCCTGAGGCATCTTGTCCATGCCTCTAATTGATCATCTAGAGGGTCAAGACTAAAGAGAAATCTCTATGTCTGAAATGATCAATAGCCTACCTATGCAACCTCTCAAAGATAATAAGGGAACATTAATCAAAGCAGGCACGTATATAAAACACTATATCTGGCTATACTGTAGGCGTGGAACCCTGTGTGATCTGCTGTGTGAATAGCAGGTCAGGTGTGCTATTCTATTGAGTCATCCTTCCAGACCTGAAGGTCAGTGTTTAGCTCTTATTAACCAGAGCTCAGGGACCACAACACACACACACACACACACACACACACACACAGTCTCTGCTACAGCTAATTGGACCGCAGGACAACTGTACCATATAATTGTACAGCGCACCTGGGATATGGATCTGGTAGGTACACCCTGAGCTGAATATTTAATTAGATTCACAAAAAAAGAATGAATTCAGCATTATCCTGTTATAGCTTGTGTTATATAACCAGTTATAGACTACTCTGTTAACCATGCTTGTTAAATATGACCTTCAGGAGAACACATGTGGATCATGGTTTTCAGTGCCGATGATTGGTTACTATGCCGCCTACAGTGCATTCTGACCTCTCCCTCTCATGATATGATTATGGGTTTTGTAGTACCTGATACAATCAGTGTTTGATTGCTGATCCACAGGCGTCATCAGCCCGGTCCACCTCTCACTGGACTTTTCAACTCCTATCCAGGAACGCCCTCAAGATGGTGAGTCGACAGAAATTGGCCAAATCATTGCCCGCCTGTGGATGGCTTCCAGCTTGGCGCAGATCTTTTCAACCATAACCAGCAGGATGCCTTTTCAGCAGCACTTGCTAGTTGCTATATCGCAGATCTTCTGTCCTTTCCTTTGATGCCCAGAGTGGAAAGCAGTCTCCATGTTGATTTGGGCAGGGAAGCCATGCCAGCTGACTTCAACTGGGTAAACCCAGACACTCCAGTGGTCCCTTCCCTCGCATCTCATCTGCCAGGATTTCATACTTTCCTTTCTTGCACTGGTATGCTTCCACGCACCTCTCTGAGGGCACTGTGAGTTCCACAGTCACCAGCTTTTTCTCCTTCTCCGACCATATGATGATATCTGGACAGAGAGTGCTGACAACCATGTCAGGGGGGAAGCTCAGCTGTCTGTCTAGGTCAGCACGCATCTACCACGATCTGGCATCTACCACATTCTGGCTTGTTCCAGGATGCTGTCCTGGGTCTGGCTGCTTCTGCTTCTCGTGGCCTGACTAAGTTGAAGTGGTGGCCTTTGTTGGTGGGAGTCCTCTTTTATCTCTGTTGATTCTCGAGGATCATGGCCAGTTCCCTCAAAACTTGGTCGTGCCTCCATTGAATTTGCCTAGGGAGAGGGCAACGGTGCAGTATGTTAAAACATTCTCCATGGTGCCAGGTTTGTTGCAGAGAGGGAAGTTTGGGTTTTCAGTGAGACCCCACCTGTGTAAGTTAGTAAGGGATGGGAGCACGTCATAGATAGATCTTAACAGGAACATGATTCTGGTAGGCTCCATCCTCCACAGCTCACCCCAAGAGAGAATCCTCTCGGTTTCCCACCTTGTCCAGGCTCCCTGGGCTCTCAACCTCACTGCTTTGGCCCTACTCTGTTCCTCCATTTGCCTTACTTCCTGCTGCACCAGGTGCCTCCTTTCAGTGGTGTTGGCTTTGGCCTAGCATGAGGTTTGTGTTGTTTCAAGGCCCTGTCTTTATTAGCAGATGTTCCCCACTTTTCGCCAGCATCATATCACCCTGCATCCCACTGCTGGCTTGCTTCTGAAGCTAAGCAGGGTTGGTCCTGGCTGCTTCCTGGATGGAAGACCAAATTCTACTGGAAGTGGTGTTGGAGGGCCAGTAGGAGGCACTCTTTCCTCTTGTCTAAAATAATATCCCAATGCCCCAGGGCAGTGATTGGGGACATTGCCCTGTGTAGGGTGCCGTCTTTCGGATTGGACGTTAAACGGGTGTCCTGACTCTCTGTGGTCACTAAAGATCCCATGGCACTTATTGTAAGAGAATGGGTGTTAACCCCCGTGTCCTGGCAAAATTCCCAATCTGGCCCTCATACCGTCATGGCCACCTAATCATCCCCAGCTTCCAATTGGCTCATTCATCCCCCCTGTAACTATTCCCCAGGTCGTTGCTGTAAATGAGAATGTGTGCTCAGTCAACATACCTAGTAAAATAAGGGTACAAAAAAAAAAGACTACAAAAATGTCACCGTGCTTCAGCCTGGTTGACGGCTTTGGTGGCAGACCACTTTATAATAAATAATAATATAATATGCCATTTAGCAGACGCTTTTATCCAAAGCGACTTACAGTCATGCGTGCATACATTTTTTTGTGTATGGGTGGTCCCGGGGTTCGAACCCACTACATTGGCGTTACAAGCGGCGTGCTCTACCAGCTGAGCTACAGAGGACCACACTTTCTTTGTGTCCTGACCTCAATCATGGCACCTTGTATCTTCAGGTCTTTGGAGTCCCTGAGGGTCATCACTAGCCTGGCCTTTGCCACTTTGAATTATTCTACCAGTGATGAGATTGGTAGTTGTAGCTTTTCTATTCTACTGTACAGGCCCACACATGAGAAGCTGGGGGGCACGCCAAGCCATCTGCGTAGGTCTCGGTTCGCAATTCTCTAGTGCCTCTGTTGTTGATGGGGTGACCTCGTACAGGGTTAGCGGCCAGGTTATTTCGGGGGAGGACACTGTGCTGGTTCATCCAGGATTATAATTTCCTGGGGAGCCCTGTGTTGTGGATCTTCTTTCAGCTGGCTCTGTAGGCGCTTGATGTTTTGGCTGTCCTTTAGGGTCTCGTCATTTTCCAGGCACTTGACGGGGTTATTGACGATTGATGGAATTTCTTCTTTCTGGATCATCATGGTGAACCTGTCTTTCTGTCACCTTTCCTTATCACCAGGTTTATTAATCAAAAGTAAAACATTTAATTTAGTAAAAATGTTCAAGCACTCAGCATAGTTAAACATAATTACTGTCAGTTAAAGTGAATAATTCTTTGCAACACAATACATTCAATAATGTGTTGAAATTAGATTCATTTTGTTCCTCTGGGTTCCTTTGTTTCTCTGCTACAGAAAGAACAACAGGAAAACCTTCTTTAGCTTTAGACCCATCTTTTTAAGTGTTTCAGCAAAGCCTCTCTCCCTCTACCTCTGGTCACAACTGCACTAAGCCAGAGGGGGAGTCATGTTATCAAAGAACTTACTCAGTGGTAGGCGGCCTCAGGAGGAGTAAACCCCTCGTCTCCTCTATCTGATAAAAGCAGTTTCTTTTGAAGATGAGGATGTGTACTGGGGCTAGGCTGCTGTTGTGTTGAACTCATACAGAGAGGGGATAGCAATTAGATGAAAAATTAAGCAGGATCAAGCTCCACATTACTGGGGAGTGGTGGTCGTGCACCTTAAAATTAATAATTCTGTGTGTAATAGTTCACATGAACTCATCCAAAGTGGATCAGACATCTCATTAACGGCACCAGCTCAATAAAACATGCATCTGTTCTAATGGATTCTCTCTAAAGATACTCTTGTCTTCTCCACTGTCAGCTGTACGTTGGAGTGGACGGATCTGGGGAGCACTACGCTGAATGTTAAGGGGCCAGTATTGATTGATTGATTGATTTACTCAATGACAAACTTCTCTCTAACTCAGAAAAACATTAGATATAATTCAACATTGAAGTACTGACCACACCATAAGCTATATTTACATATTATTTGCTACATTGCTTTACACATTGCAGCAGCAGAGAATTAGCCTACAAGGTTGTCGCCTGGAGCAGTGATGAAAACGAATGAAATGTAAATTAGTTCTAAGAAATATTAATTAGTCAAATTAAATAAAAAGGATGTGAAGCACATAAAACAACAAAAATATAGGATATATAGGATATTGATGATATGAATCAACTCATTTGTCTTTTCTATCACATACACTACAGTCATGGTCAAACGTTTTGAGAATGACACAAGTATTGGTCTTCACAAAGTTCACTGCTTCAGTGTTATGAGATATTTTTGTCAGATGTTACTATGGTATACTGAAGTATAATTACCATCATTCCATAAGTGTCAAAGGCTTTTATTGACAATTACATTAAGTTTATGCAAAGATTCAATATTTGCAGTGTTGACCCTTCTTTTTCAAGACCTCTGCAATCCGCCCTGGCATGCTGTCAATTAACTTCTGGGCCACATCCTGACTGATGGCAGCCCATTCTTGCATAATCAATGCTTGGAGTTTGTGGGTTTTTGTTTGTCCACCCGCTTCTTGAGGATCGACCACAAGTTCTCAATGGGATTAAGGTCTGGGGAGTTTCCTGGCCATGGACCCAACATTTCGATTTTTTGTTCCCCGAGCCACTTAGTTATCACTTTTGCCTTATGGCAAGGTGCTCCATCATGCTGGAAAAGGCATTGGTCGTCACCAAACTGTTCTTGGATGGTTGGGAGAAGTTGCTCTTGGAGGATGTGTTGATACCATTGTTTATTCATGGCTGTGTTCTTAGGCAAAATTGTGAGTGAGCCCACTCCCTTGGCTGAGAAGCAACCCCACACATGAATGGTCTCAGGATGCTTTACTGTTGGCATGACACAGGACTGATGGTAGCGCTCATCTTGTCTTCTCCGGACAAGGTGTTTTCCGGATGCCCCAAACAATCGGAAATGGGATTCATCAGAGAAAATGACTTTACCCCAGTCCTCAGCAGTCCAATCCCTGTACCTTTTGCAGAATATCAGTCTGTCCCTGATGTTTTTCCCGGAGAGAAGTGGCTTCTTTGCTGCCCTTCTTGACACCAGGCCATCCTCCAAAAGCCTTTGCCTCACTGTGCATGCAGATGCACTCGCACCTGCCTGCTGCCATTCCTGAGCAAGCTCTGCACTGGTGGTGCCCCGAACCCGCAGCTGAATCAACTTTAGGAGACGGTCCTGGCGCTTGCTGGACTTTCTTGGGCGCCCTGACGCCTTCTTCACAACAATTGAACCTCTCTCCTTGAAGTTCTTGATGATCCAATAAATGGTTGATTTAGGTGCAATCGTACTAGCAGCAATATCCTTGCCTGTGAAGCCCTTTTTGTGCAAAGTAATGATGACGGCACGTGTTTCCTTGCAGGTAACCACGGTTAACACAGGAAGAACAATGATTTCAAGCACCTCCCTCCTTTTAAAGCTTCCAGTCCGTTATTCTAACTCAATCAGCATGACAGAGTGATCTCCAGCCTTGTCCTCGTCAACACTCTCACCTGTGTTAACGAGAGAATCACTGACATGATGTCAGCTGGTCCTTTTGTGGCGGGGCTGAAATGCAGTGGAAATGTTTTTTGGGGGGATTAAGTTCATTTTCATGGCAAAGAGGGACTTTGCAATTAATTGCAATTTATCTGATCACTCTTCATGACATTCTGGAGTATATGCAAATTTCCATCAACAAAACTGAGGCAGCAGACTTTGTGAAAATTAGTATTTGTGTCATTCTCAAAACTTTTGACCACGACTGTACAGTGAATGGAGGCTTGTAATGCCCAAGCCAGATCAAGCTATGCAGCAGGTGTTGGAGATGGTGACAGTGAGTAATGTTAGTGGTGGTGGCAGACAGACGACAGATAGTGAGTGCCACTCCAGTCTCAAGCACCACTCTCAGTGTGTCATGTACTAGTACTCTCCTCACCTCCTACACAACTCCCCTCAGCTTTCACAGTCAATCATAGAGCTGCTGCTGCTAGACTGGATAGGGGCTTTCTCGCCTGTCTGGAACAACATGCTATTTGCACTACATGTGTCATATCAGTCCAATCAAATTAACTGAAAAGCATCTGTAATGCCATGATAACAGATTTAGATATCAATGTGACCTCACCTCTCCATTATTTCCCTTGAAAGTACCCTATTTACAACGTTGAACATGCCCTCACCCTACGAAGCCAGTTTCCCCTGCAATGATGCTAACTAGTCAGTCCACTTATATTCTGACTCGTTTATCTAAAGAGAATTCCCAATGCGAAAGCTTTACACTCCCATTGTCAGACTCGCGCTCTACACCCCCTCCTGAAGGTAGACACCGTAAAGCTCATTGAGAATCACAGTGTTTTTCATCTATGGTGACCTTTGATTTTCATCTGCCAAGACATGCAATTTCATCGTATTGCCTAGTGGGAACCTATACCTATAGGGAAGGGCTGGCCACCAACATGATGAGATTTACTAAGATAACTGTGTGTGTGTGTGTGTGTGTGTAGAGGGTCCTGAGGGCAGATGGGGGGACAGAGACAAACAGAGACACAGTGAGTGAATGAGAGAGACCGCAGGGTGTATTGGATAATTAAAGCTTTGCATATGTGTCTTTCAGTGTAAGTCTTTAAAATCCTCTACTTCCTGGTGTGGTGAAATCATTCCCCTGCACATTTGAATTGCCTCTTCCCTAAGGTGAAGGATTTAATTAATGAATTTACTGTAGTACATTTCAGCCAGAAACAACTGAACACAATACAACCAGGTCTCCAAATCTTAACACAACAAAAACGTTTAGTGCATCTTTTAATTTGCTTCAGGACAGCTCATATGATTGACATGTTAAGTTATAATGTGCATGATGTACAAAGCTGGATATGCATTAAAATATATCTGGTTAGATCAAGATTAGATGAGCTACAAAACCAAGTGAAGCTCAATCTAAATAATCAGCTCCTGTATTTCTTTATAACCAGAACCCAAGACATTTCAGTCATTGTTTCGCCTGTCAAAAATAAACTGGTACTTTCATCAAGTAGTCTTCATCCATAGAAGTGTAACTGTTATAGTATTGCACGTAGCATGGCCATGTGTGTTACGTTGACAGGTGTGATCTTTGAAATACTTATGTTCAGTGGTAAGAAATGCTGCAATTCATTTTGTGTGAAAAAGGAACAAATGTACCATGACATGATGTACTTTCATGTTATTAAAAAGTAAATACCACGCAGGGTAAGGTTTATAAATGGTACCTTCCACCTTCCTACAGAGTACAAATTAGAGACATAATTGTAAAAAGGCGAAGATCGCATGGACATCCTTTCTATATACCAATGTCCAATATAAAATACTCTTCCTCCAAACGACATCTCCTAGACTTCATGAAAACACAACTTGAATTTCATGGACATTTCGTTCCATTTTCACCCAGATTGATTCAGTAATGATGTCTGAAAGGATACATGTAAAGAGGCAGATGGACTGACTGCAGCTGGAAACATCCAGATAAGAGCCTCTCTCATTAGGTTAATAGATGAGCTACATCTTACCAGAGTGAGCACTCATAGCTTAGACAAACTCTGCAGGATTGACATAGTTCTGTCTGGCAGTTTGATGTTCCACAAGGAAAAAAACTGGATGATTGTGAGCTGCATTACTTAGCAGCACATCTAGTTGGTGTCTTACCAACCTCATGTATTTCACAAGAGTGAGAGAGAATAAAGGGTTCTCTGACGCATTTTAGAATAATTTAACTGCATCAAACGCCAAGCACTTAAATCAGATCACTGTGGGCTTTAGGTATTCATGAATTAATTAAATAAATACATTTAATACAAATATAATTTAATTAATTAAATACATTTACGTAGGTGTGTAATGTATTGCGTAATGTATTCCCATTGGTATGCATCACCTACTGTGAGTACTACAACATCAACCTGTGAGAGAGAGAAAGAAAAAGAGAGTAAATGTACTGATTCTGAAGACTGGTCTGCTTAACCATCAGTCTCTCTCAAACAGAACCACAGGCTGCAGAACAGACCAGAACAGACCAGAGGCAACAGCAGCAGCACAGCCATAGCAACTAGCTGAAGAATAATAACTCTCTGTAGGAAGGATGTCTAATATGCCAACAGCAGGTTGGAAATTCTCATTACTTCTTAAACAAAAGGAAGATGTAATGATCAGAGCTAATGAAACGCTCACAAAGTCCTGCTTTTTGGGAGGACCGACAGCAAAGATAACATCACAATGTAGCGGGTGTGAGTGGACTGGGAGATAGATTGAGATGTTGTAAGACATGGTAGTGACGTCTCATAAACAACCCCAGACCTCTCTCTCTGTGGTCAGAGCAGAGGAGTGTACAAGGACCGGACTGTTCAAAGAACTCTGGTACAGAGAGAGACAGACAGTGAGCTGAAGATGTTGACCTGAGGTTTCAGTGCTGCTGGGTAATTGGCCATTCATCCTTTGTGTGTCATTCACCAGCTCAGAGAGCCCAGCGGTCACGTCCTTAGCGACCAGAGAGAATGACTGTCCATCTGTGTTTCAAAGCACCAGAGAGAGAGACAGAGAGAGTGAGGCAGACACACACACAGAGAGCGAGAGACAGAGACAGAGAGAGAGACAGAGCTGCTTTCCTTCCAGCCTCAAAGAGCCTCTGTGGGTCTCTGGCATCGCTGCTAACCACAGGAGTCAGGTCCATCAGTTCAGTCTACAGTGCATAGAAAGACATTGTTCCAAAAAACACATTGGCCGGTGGCCTAACAACATCTATTTTCTCTCACACACTCTCTCAAACCCTGTGTCTTCTCTCTCTCACACACACACGTCGCTCTCACACAATGTCCCGTTGACACCTCAGGCTGTGAGGTTGAGATATGTCAGGTCTGACACTCCATAATCAGCCCTGGAACGCATGAATCTCCTCGTCACTGAAACAATACTGTCTCACCAACCTGAGAAAGAGAGGAGGGAGATTGAGAGAGGTGAGAGGGGGACTCAGACAAAGCCTAAAGGTGGGAAAAGTAATCCAAAGTTAACCAATGTTATACAAGTTAACTTCCTTGCACTGCATAACCTGAAATGGTTTGAATCTACTACATCAACATTAACATAAAAACATACTGCATGGGTTCTACATTTAGAAATGTAAATGCCTAACTGGAGTGTGTATAGGGGTGTGGAGTGTCACTCACCCCACAGTCAGCTCGGTGAAGGCTGAGGGGCCACACACACACACAAAGACCTTTGAGCCCTCAGGCCTAACCAGGAAGTCAGTCAGCATGGAGGCCTCAACTCGCCCCTTCCTGCCTGTCCACCCATCACATGGCTCTGACAGAACATACTCCACCTGGAACCTGGAACCATAGAATAGAGCAGAATAGAACCTATCACACGGCTCTGACAGAACATACTACACCTGGAACCTGGAACCATAGAATAAAGCAGAATAGAACCTATCACACAGTTCTGACAGAACATACTCCACCTGGAACCATAGAATAGAGCAGAAAAGAACCTATCGCATGGTTCTGACAGAACATACTCCACCTGAAACCTGGAACCATAGAATAGAGCAGAATAGAACCGATCACACAGTTCTGACAGAACATCCTCCACCTGGAACCATAGAATAGAGCAGAATAGAACCTATCACACGGCTCTGACAGAACATACTCCACCTGGAACCATAGAATAGAGCAGAAAAGAACCTATCACACAGTTCTGACAGAACATACTCCACCTGGAACCATAGAATAGAGCAGAAAAGAACCTATCGCATGGTTCTGACAGAACATACTCCACCTGAAACCTGGAACCATAGAATAGAGCAGAATAGAACCTATCACACAGTTCTGACAGAACATCCTCCACCTGGAACCATAGAATAGAGCAGAATAGAACCTATCACACAGTTCTGACAGAACATACTCCATCTGGAACCATAGAATAGAGCAAAAAAGAACCTATCACACAGTTCTGACAGAACATACTCCACCTGAAACCCGGAACCATAGAATAGAGCAGAATAGAACCTATCGCATGGTTCTGACAGAACATACTCCACCTGGAACCTGGAACCATAGAATAGAGCAGAATAGAACCTATCACACGGCTCTGACAGAACCTCCTCCACCTGGAACCATAGAATGTAAGAAACGAAAATGCATCTTCTGCCTTACGAATTGACAGATGGGTCATCAGAACATACTGTACACTCTGAGTAACCATAGAGATCAAGAGAGAGAACATTCTCTGCCTAGCGGCAAGACTAGATGTACAGTCCATGCATGTGTTAATGCTGCTTCACAGGTAATGTAGTCAATATGGTAATGATGTGATCAAAGGTTATGTTGGGGAGTATTCACACACCATGAAGACATGCAATCATAGACATCTGGAGCGGGCAAGAACACACACACACACACACACACACACACACACACACGCGCTAATGATCAGATTCACCACAGAGGGTCAGTCTTACTGACATCTAACGCAGCCAGCCTCATAATGACCACCCTCAATACGAACACACAGTGCAACCGCACACACACACACCTCTCATCTTTAGCAGCGAGGCTGTCAAGTTCAGAGTGCCACAGGATGTCTCTTTCTTGTCGGTTGAAGAACATCAGCTTGGTTTTCCTAGAACACACAAACATCTAATGCCGTCAGAACAACGTGCCCTTTACAATGTACACAAATCCTTAGAAAGAGAACAATGACAGCCATGCAATAACACAGGAGTAAATCAGAGTATAGCCTCCTTCAGTTTCTATTCAGTCACAAGCATCAATGAAATACTCTGAAAGAAAGAGATCATCCACAATATAGCAGTATATATTGATAGGATAGGCAGAATATTTTCCATACTGCTTATACCTATCCAATTCTTTCATATCTACATGAAGTGCTTAGGGGGAAGGGGCTATACTAGGGGTTGTTTCTGGGTGGAGCCATGACAGCGTATTTCACCTGAGTGAGCCCAGGTCCTGGAGGGCCAATCGGATCACCCGAGCCATGGGTGTGAACCCCGTGCCGGCTGCTAACAGGTAGAGGTGAGTGACCTCACGCAGGAGGCGGAGACTGAACGGACCATCCGGGCTGCTGACAGACAGGTGGTCACCTAGGCAACCAGGGAAGAGGAGAGAAGGAAACCATTAAGCTGAGAAACCACACAAACACAAGAATAAGCAATAACAGATGGCAATAAAAAATGAGTACAAATCAGGATAGCTTGAATAATGAATACAGAAAGTGTCTGTCATTTCCTACCATCAGCTATCCATTTCCTCTTACATTATGTTTCTGTTTGTACTGTCCAGCTACTCTTTGTTATTAGGTGTTATCTAGATGTAATGTATATCAGTGAAAGGCACATGGTATCGTTATAATGGAGACGTTTTTTCTTCTTTAACTGACTGACTGGGAACTAAACATCCTCCATCTGTCCCAATGTTGCAGCTGGGCCTGCAGCACCAGGCAACCAGACACACACGTGCGCAAGTTCACGTGCACACACGCACAACACTAGGAAATATTCAGGTAATGGGGGCCAGATGAGGAGAATTACATAGCCTGAAGCCCTGTCAGTGAGCATAGTTTACACCGAAAGATAGAGACAGAAGCGTCTATATTTCCTGTCCACTTCTGTGCAGATGGACTGGTAGGACAATGACTTTTCCAGGAAGGAGAAGGTCATGGATTTAGATATGTATTGATTCCACTGTTAAGAGGACAAGACAAGACAAAAGGCCAGGAAATCCGATTCATTGGGGGTGGAAAGGAAAGGAAAGGAAAGATGGGTTATATTCTGGCGCCCTGACTATGTATAAGGCTAGACTCTGAGAAGGGGTCAGGAGGATAGATGAGATAAAATGACCTGTTTATGAGTCTTTAAATAGAAACTAATTACACCATCAATCCTGTTTGGGAGCTGAGCAATCTCCCCCCTGTAATTGATTTATCTGAATAGTGCCTGCTTCTGCTGATGTATGAATAAGAGAGAGAGAGAGAGAGAGAGAGAGAGAGAGAGAGAGAGAGAGAGAGAGAGAGAGAGAGAGAGAGAGAGAGAGAGAGAGAGAGAGAGAGAGAGAGAGAGAGAGAGAGAGAGAGAGAGAGAGAGAGAGAGAGAGAGAGAGAGAGAGAGAGAGAGAGGAAGATGGAGAGAAGATGAGGAGAAAAGATAGGGTCTAAATAGGGCTGTGACGATTATAGAATTTTGGTAACGATTAATTGTCATGCAAATGGACACAGTTATTGTCATAATTGTCATTTTTGTTGAAAAATGTTTTGAGCTTGTAATGCATACCTAATAAATACAACACAGCATTGGTGACACCCCTATCTCAAAAACAAATGGTTTGTTTACCGCTTGGAACTTTTGGAAATGAAGCTTCTCCTCCCGACCGTGCCGTTCTGCTCGTAAAATGACTACCAAATGTACCCACTTCATGTTAAACTTCAAAAATGCTAATATCTACTTGAATGTCAAAGTACATAATTGTCCATAATTGTTTGTTACACGATTATACGATAATTGTGCCAGCCCTAACTACTTGTAACATTTGACATTTAATACTCAAAATACATAATGAGAATAGAAGTGCAAAGTGCTACTATTAATCATAACAATATCCCTAATCACAATGGTAAGAGTATAGTCCTTGCACCTTTGAATGTTAATGTCATAATCATGTTATTACTAACGGTCATCTAAATGCAGTACCCTATCATAATCACAATAAATGCTTGTTTATTGCAATTTAAAGACTAAATGTTGTTAGAGGGTTTTTTATTTTAATCGACGCACAGGAGTCAACAACTTCTGTCAGGCACCTAGTCTACTTGTGTATGCAGCAGGCAAACATGTAGATGAGTTTATGGTAAACAAAAGGTCATCTCTGGCGTCCTTTCCCCCTTGCGGCAGATGTGGATGCGGGTGCGTTTGCACGCTCGGCCCGTTTCTTCCGCAGTCAACCATGTGGTGTGCATTTTTGTGTTTGAAAAGGTGCGGCGTTAAGTGAGTGAGAGGGGAAATGGTTGCATATCCCAGAGCCGACCGGGGGTCTATGAACAGGGGTAGTGAGAGAGAGAGCTTTCAATTTTGTGTAGATGAGGGATATACATTTTTAAATATAGTATACATCTAATCTAATTATTCATTGTCCTATCATGATGGAAAGATCCCTAACCCTATAACCTGGACACCCACCTGAGCGACCCATACACCAAAGAGAAGTTCCCATCTATTTTATGGACCTGCTGTGAATATGCAGCCTAAACAGAGAAATAAATGCGGTCAGAGACCTACTTGAGCAGCACCGCCCCCTCAAGATTCTGAGCCTGCCTGGCAGGGTTGGTCCTACAAAGCCAGAGCCCCCTGATGGGAGAGCATAATATACAAGGAAATTCTCAAAGCTGCTAATGAGAACCTTGACGACCTTTTACCTAGCCGGTGGGGATTCCGGTGGGGTACGCCCACCCAGGTAGTGGCAGTGCTGGCAACACTGGCTGCAGTAACCCATGGGGAGGGGGTCACACTCGGACAATCAGAGAGGGGGTTTATCATTGTGGCCCAGGTGGCACAAAATAATCAAAGGTCTGACCGCATGGAGATGCTTGGGAAAATGGTTACAACAGGGGATCAGAGTGTTTGTGTCTCAGGTGAAGAGGGTGGATCTGATCTCCATCACCTAGGACTTGACATAGATTAAGTAGATTAATCAAATCTCACATTGTTATCAATTTCTGCTCAATCTGCATGCTTTCTCAATCAGCTTTAACTGTATGTGCACACGTCGATCAAGTTATTTCTCGAGTTGGGATCTGGGATATAACAGCCGTTGAGTATCGGATTTTATGGTGGATTGTGGAGGAGGGGGGTTGAGTGTGTTGGAGTATGTGAGTATGTGCGTGTGTGCTTGTCTGGCATCTGTTGTGGGGGGGTGGGGATGTTGGGGGGGGGGGGGGTATGGGATGGACCGCAGGAATTATTTGCTAGGATAATAATTGCTTGTCAATGAATTAAATGTAATACAATGGCAATCCGGGTTATATGTTAGAATCCTATGCGTGAACTGCCGACATTATTACGCATATTAATTGATAATGATGGAAAATAGGATATGCATAATTAAAAAAATAATAATAGTTATATAGATATATATATATATATATATAGAGGTGAAAGCATTGGAAATGCTTTTGGCGGTTAACCTGCTTCTGTTTTGTGGGTGGCACTGTGTGCTGTTTTCGATGGATGGGTCCTGGCCTCTCGGGGCCTTAGGGATACGGAGGGACGTGGGTGGGATGCTGATCACTGGGATGACGGCTCAACTTGGGATGGGGAGGGGCTTTAGCGGGGGAATTAGTGGAGAACAATTGAAGGGTTACTCCGTAGCAATGCAAATATCACGGTACAGCTATATGGACACTCAATCATTACGCTATTTTTTATTGGTAAATTTACAAACATATATAATGATAAATAGACTTGAAACTTGTATCTCATTATGGTGTATGGTGAAATAAGTATAGCCAGTTATAATTGTAATGGCTTAGCTGATAATAACAAAAGAAGAACAATATTTACATGGCTCAAAGAGAAGGAATATAATATCTATTGTATACAGGAAACTCATTCAACAATTCGAGATGAAGTAGCGTGGAAAAAAGAATGGGGGGGGGAAATATACTTCTCCCATGGGCAAAGAAATTCAAAAGGGGTGATGATATTAATTAATAGTAATTTCGATCCGAATGTGCAAATTGTCCAAATAGATACGCAAGGTAGATGGATTATTTTAAATATGGTATTGGACCATAAACAGATATGGCTCATTAACCTTTACGGACCAAATAATGATGATCCACAATTCTTTGACAATATATATAATAAATGATCAAGCCTGCAAGCAACTCAAGACAATATTATTATGGTGGGGGATTATAATACTGTTTTAAATAGCTCAATGGACCGAAAAGGAAATCACACCACAAACAATCACCCACATGCTCTTAAGGAAATTGTGAATGTCATGGATACATTAGAACTAGTAGATATATGGAGGCTTAAATATGCTGATCTAGTGAGATATACATGGCGGCGACTGAATCAAGCTAGTCGTCTTGACTTCTTTCTTATCTCATTCTCGTTGGCACCAAAAGTAAAAAAAGTGTTGATAGGGGACAGAATGCGGTCGGACCATCATATAATAGGCATATACATTACTCTGACTGAATTTCCACGTGGGCGAGGATATTGGAAATTTAATCAAAGCCTATTGGATGATAATTTATTTATAATTAGAACAAAGGAATTTATAACTGACTTTTTCCAACATAACATAGGTACAGCGAATCCCCTTATTGTATGGGACACCTTTAAATGTGCCTTTAGAGGCCATGCAATTCAGTACTCATCTCGAAAACAAAAGCAATTTAGGTCAAAAGAGTTTATACTAAGAAAGGAAATAGAAAGTCTAACAGAACAGATAGATGGCAATAAAAACTGTAACATAGAGGCTCAGAATAAATTAGAGGAAAAACAAAAAGAAATGGAAAAACTTATTCAAGAAAGATCAAGTGTAATATATTATAAAAATAAAGCAAACTGGATGGAATATGGGGAAAAATGCACAAAATTCTTTTTTAATCTTCAACATAGGAATGCTACCAAAAAGAACTTAATGAAACTGGTTACAATTGACGGAGTCACCCATAATTCACCTAATGATATTTTGAAGGAAGAAACAAAGTACTTTAAGCATATGTTTTCTTTTCAGTCGCCTCCATCTCCTCTAACTGAAGCTAATTGTAGAGATTTTTTTTCTATTGATAATGTCAAATTAACAGCCACACAGAAAGACTCATGTGAAGGTGAAATTACAGAGGAGGAACTTCTGGATGCAATTAAAGACTTTAAGTCCGGGAAAACTCCAGGGTTGGATGGCATACCAATCGAGGTATACCAAACCCTTTTTGATATACTAAGAGGACCGTTATTAGCATGTTTTAACCACTCCTATGTAAATGGTAGATTATCTGACACTCAAGAAGAAGGTCTGATCTCATTATTACTGAAACAGGATACAAGTGGAAAATATAAAGATCCAGTCCATTTACAAAATTGGAGGCCCCTTACACTTCAGTGTTGTGATGCAAAAATCCTAGCAAAATGTATAGCGCATAGAATTAAAAAGGTATTGTCGGATATTATTCATTCTAATCAGACAGGTTTTTTACATGGAAGATACATTGGAGATAATATAAGGCAAGTATTGGAAACAATAGAACACTATGGAAAATATGGGAAACCAGGCCTGCTATTCATAGCAGACTTCGAAAAGGCATTTGATAAAGTTCGACTGGGATTTATATATAAATGCCTGGAGCATTTCAATTTTGGAGAATCTCTTATAAAATGGGTCAAAATCATGTATAGTAACCCTAGGTGTAAAATAGTAAATAATGGCTATTTCTCAGAAAGTTTTAAACTGTCAAGAGGAGTGAAACAAGGTTGTCCACTATCGGCATATCTATTTATTGTGGCCATCGAGATGTTAGCTATTAAAATCAGATCCAATAATAATATCAGAGGATTAGAAATACAGGGCTTAAAAACAAAGGTGTCATTGTACGCAGATGATTCATGTTTTCTTTTAGATCCACAACTAGAATCCCTCCACAGCCTCATAGAGGATCTAGATACATTTTCTAACCTCTCTGGATTAAAACCAAATTATGACAAATGTACTATATTACGTATTGGATCACAAAAAAATACAATTTTTACATTACCATGTAGTTTACCAATAAAATGGTCTGATGGTGATGTGGATATACTCGGAATACATATCCCAAAGGAAATAAATGATCTCACTTCAATACATTTTAATAGAAAGTTAGCAAAAATAGATAAGATCTTACTACCATGGAAAGGAAAATACCTGTCAATTTGTGGAAAAATCACCCTGATTAACTCTTTAGTATTATCCCAGTTTACCTATTTGCTTATGGTCTTGCCTACGCCTAGCAAACAGTTTTTTAAATTATATGAGAAAAAAATATTCAATTTTATTTGGAACGGCAAGCCAGACAAAATTAAAAGAGCATATTTATATAATGAATATGAATTCGGAGGACAGAAATTATTAAATATTAAAGCATTAGACCTTTCACTAAAATCTTCAGTCATCCAAAAGTTATACTTAAATCCGAACTGGTTCTCAAGCAAATTAGTAAGATTGTCTCACCCACTGTTCAAGAAAGGCCTTTTTCCCTTTATTCAGATTACAACCTCTCACTTTCAGTTATTTGAAAAAGAAATAATCTCCCAAATGTCACTATTTCTAAAACAAGCCATAGAAAGTTGGTTGCAATTTCAATGTAATCCTCCAGAAACGACAGAACAAATAATGCAACAAATATTGTGGTTAAATTCAAATATACTAATTGACAAAAAACCTTTATTTTTTGACAGAATGTTTAAAAAAGGTATAATCTTCGTAAATGATATCATCGGTAGGACTGGTGGAGTTATGTCGCACATGCAGCTAACAAAAACATATGGAAATGTCTGCTCTACCCAAAATTACAACCAAATAATTGCAGCCTTACCGCAAAAGTGGAAGAGGAAAGTTGAAGGGGGAGAAAGTAAGGAACTTGTCTGTCGGCCTTGCATTAAAGAACATAATTGGTTAAGGAAAACTGTGATAAATAAAAAAGTATATCAGTTTCACTTAAGGACCAAAGGATTGACAGCCGTCCCATATAGATTGCAAAATAGTTGGGAAGAGATCTTTGACGTACCGATCCCATGGCATAGTGTTTATGAACTGACACGCAAAACGACACCGGATTCAAAAATTAGAATCTTTCAATTTAAATTATTATATAAAATTCTTGCTACCAATAGAATGTTATTTATATGGGGGATACAATCTTCCCAGCTCTGCAGATTTTGCTGTGAAGAGATAGAATCATTAGATCATTTGTTTTGGTTCTGTCCATTTGTAGCTTGTTTTTGGACACAGGTCCAGGAATGGCTAAAGGATTGCAATATTTACCTGGAACTAACCTTGCAGATAGCATTACTGGGTGATCTGAAAAGTCATAGTCAATCAATCAATAATATAATAATACTTTTAGCAAAAATGTTTATTTTTAATTCACAATCTGTAGAAGCAATGAGAATAGAAAGGTTCAGAACTTTTGTAAAACATCACAGTACGGTTGAAATATATATGGCAAATAGAAATCCTATATGGATGGTGTTAAGAGATAGATGGGAGGTATTGAATAGAGTTGAAGGATGGGACTAATAACAAATAACAACAAATAATAACAAAGATAGCTAATAATGTAAGCATACTGTGTCCATAATAAGTATATAGGTTGTATGTTGGGAGCTTTTGGGAAAGAGCACAGTTAGAAAGATATGGCATTTAGAAGCAAACCGGATGGACATCATGAAAATGATCGGAGAGGTTGAGAGTAGAAGAAGTTCAGGAGCAAAAAAAAAAATAAATAAATATATATATATATATATATATATATATATATATATATATATATATATATATATATATATATAGAATTATTGTAAAATTAACTCTGTCCATAAGGTGTAGATAGTAAGTATAGACCGGAAGTAGAGGCCTGGGCATTGTTGTTCACTAATTTACTCCAAGTAGGGAAAGGATGGTGGGGTTGAAAAGTAATAAAGGGGAATATATATATAAAAAATAAAAATAAACATGGGGGATTGGAAGTGATGCAGACAATTACATTGATAGAAGATACAATCTATCTGCAATATTAAGCTGATCCATTCCCCCCCCCACCAAAATTTTTTTTTTTTTTTTTTTTTTTAAAGATAAAAAAATAAAAAAAATAAAGGTCATCTAATCAATCCTGGTTGGAAGAAAAATTGCCTTACCTCCGGTTTCTGATCTGCTATTTTTATATTCTTTTGATGTTGTTGTTGATGCCTACCTTGCTCACTTATCTAAGACATTAGTATTCCACAGCGCGGCTAAACCACCTGCAGATTGACGTATGCTGCTGTACACCTCACACACAAGCCAATTGACTCTGTGTACAGCCTACGCCTACACATGGCTAGGATGAAGTAGTAGCCCATTATAAAACAAATACACTTGACCTCTATATATTAATATTCCACTTACATATGAACACACAGCACATGAACACAGACATCGATTTACACACACAGAAACAAACGCACGCACGCACCCACACAACCCACTCACTAACAACCTTATATTTCTTTATTTTTTTAATTATTATTATTATCTATCCGGATGCCGTGTCACTTTACCCTGCCTTCATGTATATATCCACCTCAAGTTCCTTGATCTGGTACTGGTACTCCCTGTGTATAGCTCCATTCTTGTGTGTTTTATTTTATTCCTCTTGTGTTAGTCACTATTATTTTATTTATTTGTTATTTTAAACTCTGCATCGTTGTGGAAGGTTCGTAAGCAAGCATTTCACTGTAAAGTCTACATCAGTTGTATTCGGCGCAAGTGATAAATAAAATGTGATTTGATCAACCCACTTAGCTGTAACCGGGAGGGTTACTGGTGGCCTCAGACTTACCGATGTTGAGGTTGTTTAGGTGTGGAGTCAACACTCCATCTGGGTAGACTTTGATCATGAGGAAGACGTCAGTGGCTGCGGTCCCCTGTGTAGAGTCCTGTGTAGCTGGTACCAGTGTTTCCTCGACCGGCGTGTAGGGCTTCACCACCTCACTGTCTACACATGTAGGATAGCATAAGCACTAGCAATGGACCACATGGGCTGCTATGGGATTAGCGCTAGCCCAGATGTAGCATTAGCATGGATCTATAGGCTAGCCCTTACCTTGGATGAGGGCCTTGAGGTAGATGTGTTTCCCAACAGGCACGTGCATGAGCGTCCCTAGAGGGAGTTGTAACCGGAACACCCATGTGTCATGTGTGACCTCTGTCTTAGAAACTAACATACACTCCCTGTAGAAGATCGCTGCAGAGAGAGAGAGAGTGAATAACTGACATGTGATTTTGGTTAATATGGGAAAGTAATTCAATCAATTCAGAAGATAAGACAGATGGATAAACATCTCTTTGGATGTGTCTGAAATGGCATCCTGGCTCTTTCTTTCGTCTTTTCCCGATTCCTCACTTCCTCTCTCCTTGCCTCCTCCTCAAAACGCATTTTGAGAAGAAGGTGAGGAGTGAGGCCGTGAGGAATCAAGGAAAGACGTATTGGAAAAGAGCCCCTATTCATACCTCGATCTTTCTTCCTGAAAAGAGAATCATGGAATTCCAGTGGTTCACCAAGCTCCTCCCACTTTCCTTTGGCTGCTTTACGCATGCTGACCTGAATCTTCCCCACAGCACAGGCTGTCTGGACTGTACCAGCATAGAGAGAGAGAGAGAGAGAGAGAGAGAGAGGGGGAGGAGAGAAGGAGAAAGATGGGAAGGGGGAGGGAGGGAGTTGGAAAACGTTAACAGTTTGTCAGCTTTAGCTTATGAAAAGACATCAGATCATAAATGTTCTCCTTACCAGCAACGCTTCTCTCTACTTCTTGGGCTAGACCTGAAAAAGAGAGCCTCTTAGTGAGTTGTTTACCATAAATTAATATAATCAAATTAATCACAAGAAAAGTCCCCATTTTACAGAGAGATAGAGACAGAAAGAGAGAGAGAGACAGACAGAGGGGGATAGAGATAGAGCGATATAGAAAGTTTAATGGAAATGGGCACAGTGTTTATTTCCTCTGGTTGACACAGTTAATATTTCCATCCAACATTAATAAGCCAGTGGTAAACACTAGACACTAATGGTGTCAAGTCCTCTGGCAGGCTGGAACACAGATGGAAAAATAAGCTCTGAGGGAACTCAACAATATAATTAAAGCTGATAATGGACTAGAGCTGTGATGGTCATGGAATTTTGGATGACAATAATTGGCCAACCAAAATGACCATGGTCACCGTAATAACGGTTAGAATAACAAAAAATTATAATAATGGGAGAAAAAAAACTTTTTTTGTTTTCTCCTCCTCCTCTCCGCTCCTGACTGCATGTGCTGATGTGTGCAGCTGCAGGGAAGGGTCATTGCCTAGGCAACCGAAGACTAATTTGCTACAACACCGTGCATGTTTCAGCAAGGAGCAACAAAGTTTCATCACGTTGTTAAGAGTCCATGTTACAGCAGAAACAGACTCAACCACACAAATGCCCGGCCGTCCGGCTTCAGTCAGCTGTTCGTTCCACACAACAACAACATTTTAAAAATCCCCCAAATTCCCTTTAAAAAAAACAATCCAATCAAATTTTATTGGTCACATACACATATTTAGCAGATGTTATTGCGGGTGTAGCAAAATGCTTGTGTTCCTAGCTCCAACAGTGCAGTAGTATCTAACATTTCACAACAATACACAAATCTAAAAGTAAAATAATTGGAATTAAGAAATATCTAAATATTAGGACGAGCAATGTCGGAGTGGCATTGACTAGAATACAGTATATACATATGAGAGATGAGTAAAGCAGTATGTAAACATTATTAAAGTGACTAGTGTTCCATTATTAAAGTGGCCAGTGATTCCATGTCTATGTACAGTGCCCTCCACTATTATTGGCACCCCTGTTTAAGATGTGGTCGAGGACTTCCAATTTTTTTTTTAATCAATTAAATTTTAAGTATTAACATCAGGGGTGCCAATAATTGTGGGACACATGATTTCAAGTTTTTTTTTTTTCTAAATGTGTGATTTTTTTTTTTACCACCAAAGTAATGTACTTAAATAAAAGGTTGGATTTTTCTCTTTTTTTGCATTTGGGTTGTATGTTGTTAAAAAAAAAAAAATTTGGAAGTCCTCGACCACATCTTAAACAGGGGTGCCAATAATAGTGGAGGGCACTGTATAGGGCAGCAGCCTCTAAGGTGCAGGGTAGAGTAACTGGGTGGTAGCCAGCTAGTGATGGCTATTTAACAGTCTGATGGCCTTGAGATAGAAGCTGTTTTTCAGTCTCTCGGTCCCAGCTTTGATGCACCTGTACTGACCTCACCTTCTGGATGATGCGGGGTGAACAGGCCATGGCTCGGGTGGTTGATGTCCTTGAACTTTTTGGCCTTCCTGTGACATTGGGTAATGTAGGTGTCCTGGAGGGCAGGCAGTGTGCCCCCGGGGATGCGTTGGGCGACCGCACCACCCTCTGGAAAGCCCTGCGGTTGTGGGCGGTGCAGTTGCCGTACCAGGCGGTGATACAGCCCAACAGGATGCTCTCAATTGTGCATCTGTAAAAGTTTGTGGTCTTAGGGGCAAAACTGAATTTCTTCAGCCTCCTGAGGTTGAAGCGGCGCTGTTGCGCCTTCTTCACCACACTGTCTGTTTGGGTGGACCATTTCAGATTATCAGTGATGTGTACTTGAAGCTTTTCACCTTCTCCACTGCGGTCCCGTCGATGTGGATAGGGGCGTGTTCCCTCTGCTGTTTCCTGAAGTCCACGATCAGCTCCTTCGTTTTGTTAACGTTGAGGGAGAGGTTATTTTCCTGGCACCACGCCGCCAGGGCCCTCACCTCCTCCCTGTAGGCTGTATTGTCATTGTGGTAATCAGGCCTACTACTGTTGTGTCGTCTGCAAACTTGATGATTGAGCTAGAGGCGTGCATGGCCACGCAGTCATGGATGAACAGGGAGTACAGGAGGGGGCTGAGCACGCACCCTTGTGGGGCCCCTGTGTTGAAGATCAGCGGAGTGGAGGTGTTTTTTCCTACCTTCACCACCTGGGGGCGGCCCGTCAGGAAGTCCATGACCCAGTTGCACAGGGCGGGGTTCAGACCCAGGGCCCCCATCTTAATGATGAGCTTGGAGGGTATTATGGTGTTGAAGGCTGAGCTATAATAGTCTTTCATTCTGATGTAGCTATTCCTCTTGTCCAGATGGGATAGGGCAGTGCGATGGCATCGTCTGTGGATCTATTGGGGCGGTAGAGGTGATATGATCCTTAACTAGCCTCTCAAAGCACTTCATGATGACAGAAGTGAGTGCTACGGGGCGATAGTCATTTAGTTCAGTTACCTTTGCTTTCTTGGGTACAGGAACAATGGTGGACATCTTGAAGCAAGTGGGATAGGGAGAGATTGAATATGTCCGTAAACACTCCAGCCAGCTGGTCTGCACATGCTCTGAGGACACGGCTAGGGATGCCGTCTGGGCCGGCAGCCTTACGAGGGTTAACACGCTTAAATGTCTTACTCACGTCAGCCACAGAGAAAGAGAGCCCACAGTCCTTGGTAGCGGGCCGCGTCGGTGGAACTGTGTTATCCTCAAAGTGGGCTAAGAAGGTGTTTAGCTTGTCTGGGAGCAAGACGTCAGTGTCCGCGACGTGGCTGGTTTTCCCTTTGTAATCCGTGATTGTCTGTAGACCCTGCCACATTCATCTTGTGTCTGAGCCGTTGACTTGCGACTCCACTTTGTCTCTATACTGACGTTTTGCCTGTTTGATTGCCTTACGGAGGGAATAACTACACTGTTTGTATTCAACCATATTCCCAGTCACCTTGCCATGGTTAAATGCGGTAGTTCGCGCTTTCAGTTTTGCGCCAATGCTGCCATATATCCACGGTTTCTGGTTTGGGTAGGTTTTAATAGTCACCGTGGGAACAACATCCCCTATACACTTCTTGATGAACTCAGTCACCGTGTCCGTGTATACGTCAATGTTATTCTCAGAGGCTACCCAGAACATATCCCAGTCTGCATGATCAAAACAATAATGGATTCTGATTGGTCAGACCAGCGTTGAATAGACCTTAGCACGGGTAGTTCCTGTTTGAGTTTCTGCCTATAGGAAGGGAGTAGCAAAATGGAGTCGTGATCTGATTTGCCGAAGGGAGGGCGGGGGAGGGCCTTGTAGACATCTCGAAAAGGCGAGAAGCAGTGGTCTAGTGTTTTTCCTAAGCGAGTACTACAGTCAATGTGTTGATAGAACTTCGGTAGCGTTTTCCTCAAATTTGCTTTGTTAAAATCCCCAGCTACAATAAATGCAGCCTTAGGATATGTGGTTTCCAGTTTGCATAAAGTCCAGTGTAGTTCCTTGAGGGCAGTCGTGGTATCGGCTTGAGGGGGAATATACACTGCTGTGACTATAACCTAAGAGAATTCTCTTGGGAGGTAATACGGTCAGCATTTGATTGTGAGGTATTCTAGGTCGGGTGAACAAAAGGACTTGAGTTTCTGTAGGTTATCACAATCACACCATGAGTAGTTAATCATGAAACATACACCACCGCATTTCTTCTTCCCAGAGAGTTCTTTATTCCTGTCTGCGCGATGAACTGAGAACCCAGCTGGCTGTATGGACGGGGACAGTATATCCCGAGAGAGCCATGATTCCGTGAAACAGAGTATGTTACAGTTCCTGATGTCTCTCTGGAAGGAGATCCTCGCCCTAAGCTCGTCTACTTTATTGTCCAGAGACTGAACATTAGCGAGTAATATACTCGGAAGTGGTGGATGGTGTGCACGCCTCCTGAGTCGGACTAGAAGTCCACTCCGAATACCTCTTCTCCGATGGCGGCATCTTGGAGCAGCCTCTGGGATAAGTTCAATTGCCCTGGGGGGTACGAACAAAGGATCCAATTCATGAAAGTCGTATTCCTGGTCGTAATGCTGGTGAGTTACCGCCACTCTGATATCCACAATTTATTTCCGGCTGTATGTAATAACACAAAAAACTTTCTGGGCTAATAATGTAAGAAATAACACACAAAAAAACAAAATACTGCAAAGTTTCTTAGGAGCTAGAAACAGAGCTGCCATGTCTGTTGGCGCCATCTTACATCTTAAGGGGGTCTTCATCGGTTAAAGGGGAAAGGTAATTGTGCCAGCCCTAACTAGGGTCCAGGATAGGGACGTGACAAATGTAAAAAATGTCAACGTTTAAACTGCTATTTTTATTGTTTGAACCATAAGAAAAAATCATAAAACCATTCACAATGCAGATATAGTGCTGCATATGACCGCTAGGGGCCAATGCAGTTCAAACTACCGCATTCATGGCTACCCATAGACTGTAAAAAATATGGACGACGCCATCGATGACTTCACCCCACTGTTTCCTATGAGAATGCTCAGTGGCTCATTTGAAGATTAGGAAGTGTAATTTCACTAAGTCACCATCTTGCTTCATGGAGGAGTTTTCGGAAACATTGCATGAGCAGTTTGAGCTACTCTAGGAAGTGACGTTGCAGGCTAGCTCAGTGCTGCCCCCTCTCATTAAGTATCTCAAGTTGAAGGTCGACCGAGGTACTGCAGGCTGCCATAAGCAACTAAATTATCCTTCTAACTTCGTCTGTGTGTGATTTTAAAGTGATCGGTTCAAGGACATACAACTGGTGAAATAGAAGCCATTTTTGGTACCATGATCATTTTCAGTGTTTTTTTGTAATATATCCACGAATATTGACCACAAAGATCGCCATTTCCCCATTCACTACAATGGGGGATCCTGTTTTCTGTAAACAATGCCTGTGGTATCGCGGTCGGCCGTTAACTTGAAATCCTCAATGCGAGGGGGCAGTTGTTCTCCCCTGTGGCTACCAGACAGCACTCACCTTACT